TCACAAAACGCCAAAGATGAATTTGATAAATGAAGTTCTAAATGAAAAGTAAGTCTCATTTGGCCTTTATCTCCCTCAAGATATGAAAATGTGAACTTATGAAATTTTATTAGATGCATTTTTTGACGCATGCTTCTGACTGAACAATTGAATAATTTCCTATTCTACTGGATAATTTACAAATTTCCTAGTATGAATGGCAGTTCTGTTTACTCAAGTGCAACAGTTTACAACCTTCAAATTTCAATAGAATTAAGATATAGGAGTGCTACATGAATCTCAATCTTAATGCTGAGAAGACTGCACGATCGAGAGACAGGTGGAATGGACAGATTTGGAATTGGAGAGAAGGCCGGTGAATCGGATGTGATGCAGGAGATGATGGGAGAAAGAGAGAGAGAGAGATGAGCAGAGGTGTTTGGGAGAAATACTGAAAGAGAAGGGGGGAGAGAGCAGATGACAAATTGAGATGAATAGATGTAGTCCGGTGCAACAGTGGGAAGCTGTGGCTTATTAATAGAGAGAATTAGAAAAGCAGGCTGAGTCAATCTCCACCATGTCACCCTGTATCAGCAAACTATCAGACACACGCACACACACACACACACACACACACACACACACACACACACACACACACACACACACACACACACACACACACACACACACACACACACACACACATACACTACAAACTCAGCCTCCCTTTTGCCCTTACTCTTCCTTATTCTCTTCCAAGCGCCCATTCACTACACATGCACACTTGTATACATACATACATGTATATATTTACATTACCTTAATATATACTGTACATTAGAGAATATTCAATCCAGCTTCATTGATCTAATGTGGTCTTTGTTTCTGCATTAACAGATTGAAATGTGAGTTTGTATTAATTCATCACAACAATATAAATATCAAGATCATCCAAACTTGAATTGTTCTTAAATTGACATTTTAATTAAGACTGTCAAACAATTAAAAATTGTGAATTAATTATGTAGTGTTTGCTGGGAAAAAAGCAACAGTTTAAAGATATTGCAATATTGTGACAAACGAAAGGAACAAATGGAGATTGCAAAAGTGGCTTTAGAAGTAATTGTTTGTTTTATGTTCATATTGTACATAAACCATTTTGATCCATAGTCTACATAATCCGTTTTGCAATCGAATTTTTTTCAATATCGAATTTATTAAATCGTCTTTGGCTGTTGTTTTTCGGATTGTATATATATATATATATATATATATAAATACATATTTAGTGTGTAAAAAAAAGTGCTTTCAGGATTTATCACAACTTTTGTTAAAGGTACAATATGCAGGATTTTTGCAGTAAAATATCCAAAAACCACTAGGCCAATGTTAATATTTTGTTTAGTTGATTACTTACAATATCCCAAATGTTTCCAATTTGTAAATCATGAGAAAATTGCAATTTTAACCAAGGAAACGGGGCGTGTGAGCAGGGGTGAGGAGTCGCCAGTCAATGGCGTCATATCCGCGTTAACCCTCGGTTTTCGCCAGGTTTGACCTTGTACGCAATAGTAACCATGGCGACAGACGTGGACAACTGGGTCGGTTATTCCCGTTTTGTGTGCTCTGCATGAGCGTCCCTACTAGCAGGGTTTTGTTCAAACACTATGGACCATAGCAAGCAGACTTTGAGACAAAAAGAGGACTAAAACAAAGACCAACATCTTTCGAGATGCCAAGAGCTCGACGTTTGCGCTAACTTCTTGACAGAGATGCGAGTGTTGCATGTTATTTGCATTATGCATAAATAGTAAAGAAACCTGCTTGGATGTATTATGTTCAGGAAAAACGTAATAGCACTGCAATAGTATTACGTTAAGGACAAACGTAATAGCACTGCTTATATGTTGGCATGTAACGTAATGTCGATTTGCAAAATAGTTTCCTCAGAACGTATTTCGTGTGATACACAGTTGGTTATTTGAGCAAACAGGTGAGCAAATGTATATAAATCTAATCAATGCTATGTAGTTCAACATGATGAAAAGTTAGAATATGATCTGTATGATATTCGCTAATGTTAGCTTAGTCTTATTCAGCCAACAAACAACCTAACTAACAACATTCAAATGCCGTTTAGTGTGATAGTGAAACTGTTAGAGCAAGTGAAGCAGCACTGCGTTACCTCAAGTTTAATTCCTCTAATAAACTGACCTGTGTGAGTATTACTAATTCAGCACTTGCGTGTAGTTCGGTAGACAACGCATTCTCACCCCAAGGCGTCACCTTTGACCATGCTTCAATATTTGACGTTTTAGGCGCCCTTTAGCGTCACTTACATGACGCGATCCTACGGCGTCAGTTAAGTGACGCCTTGGGGGTGAGAATGGGCTGCGGTAGAATGAAATTACCTTATTCCTTTATATCCGCGGGACTCGCGTTGCGTGTGGCACTGGTATATGTCTAGCAATCGCACCCTGCTTCATACTACAATCATGTTACAAACATCAATGTATTCACTCATCCATAAAAGATCCATCAGCTTGAAGACAAGATCCAGAATTCCGCTTAATTCTGAATAATATACGCCTTTGTTATTGTAAGAGGTTAGCGACCCCTGGTGGCGAAACAATCTTGCATTTTGTACCTTTTAACTATTTTTTTTATATTGTATTAACTCAAATGTTTTATATCAATTAACCAGGAAACTTACTTTTTTAAGTTAAACCAACAATATTATTTACAGTCTACAGCAAGATGAATTGCTCAAAGTTTTCAGGAGTGGTATATGCTAATGTGACCTCAGACACATCAAGCAGTTGCTTGTGTGCCAAGTTGACAAGATGCATCATGGGAGGTTCTCTATTGATTAAGAGGCAAAATGGCGACAAGCCTCCTTGGACCTGCCCCAATGAGCTTTAAGGAGGAGGAAACATGGACAGGCATTCACAGAAACAAAGGCAGACACACGCAATTGTAACTAGGTCCTACAATTAGCTCTCAATAGATTCACCATGCACTTATTTGAGACAGAAGCAGTCCTATGAAACCTAAAGAGATGATGTAAGGCTACAGTGTTTCACAATAAAACACACACTCAGCAAAAGGGAGGGAGGGCGGCTTTCTTTTCCAAGGCTTTAGGTTGGCCTTCTTCCTCTGTACTCCATAACTATCAATAGAAGTATAAATGAGTGCCATTTGTCTGTCAAGATTTGAAGGGTAGTTTCTTTTAATTGCAAGGATGCAACAAAAGCTCTATATTCTGTCGCTCAAATGTCACTATGTGACGTATTCAGTTTTGACACAAATCATGTGCTATCAATTTTTTTGAAGCCATTCAAATGAATTACTGACTTAAAATGGATAGTTAAATTAACTAACTTTAAATGGATAGTTATGTCATCAATTGTTATAATTGCATTGAAACACTGATCCGAGCATATATATATATATATATATATATATATATAAGCACATGAAATATAATAAAGAGAAGCGCATCTATCTATATCGAAAACTACAACTAGGCCTATATATAGAAAACTACAACTGTCAATTTCAGCACCAACAATTAGTTTCAACAATAGTGATTATTGTTGACAGTACAATCATCAGTAATCAGCACATATTAAACCAACAATGACAAAAACAAAGAATTTAATCAATGATCGCATGTGTTGGAACTGAACCTTTTACAGTAATAATTAACAATTCCACTTACAGTAGACGAGATACGACCATCATGAAACAAACAAAAAAACGTTGATGAAAGAGCGAAGATGGGCTTTAGTAAAATAGAGAAGGGCACATGGGATGTTGATGGAGATATAAATGATGGTGGGATGATAGGAAAAGAGTAGGTGAGCACTAAAGTGTGGGGGAGGTTGTCAGTATAGCAATGTGTCTATCGTTGCTAATGAGCTCTGAAGGCTAAAGAAACAGAGACACTGACAACAGACACAGCTAAACTGTCTTTCACCCTACACACTGTCATTCTCTCTCCCTTTGCAAGCTTTCTCATCCTTTCCCCCTCCCTCTCCCCCTTTTAACATCTCCACAGATGAATGCAAAGAGGATTTCCATTTTTTTTCAAGCCATATAATGAACACACCTCATGCTATAATTTATTTAAGTGTACAGATGAGCAGCCATTATTAGGATGTTGGTTCGCTATGGCAAGTGTGTTCTGCAGGGCAATCGACTCCTGAAGGACATGCAGTGAACCGAGACAGGGCTTAAAAAGGTGTTGAAATTATTATTATTTTTTGATGACTCCAATGAGTATAGAGGAAAACAATTAGCAAAATGCCCAGAGGACATGTCCATTCTCTTTGACTAGTCAAACAATTAATGCACCTTTTCTGCTCAGTCCCTGCTAACCAGTTAACCCACAGGTCGATTATAGATAACACAAATGTGTTGTATGTGCTTTTCTCCATAGGCTACACACATATTATTTGCTTTTAAACTAGTATGAAGGTAGGCTATAGTTAGTTTTAAATGTGTTGCATTTTAAGTTATGTATATGTACATATACTTTTAATCTTCTCAACTACGACCACATGCTTTACATTTGCTGCCGCAAATGAAGTTTAAGATTTAGCCTGCCGTTGGGTAAGATTAGGGTCACTCTTGCAAAACTTTTGGAGGAGAGCTCCATCAGCCTACATGCTAAACTAATCTCGAAATATCTTACAATATAGCAGTTAATGCGTTTTTCATTTGGAATTTGATTTCCCCCATCCTCGAATCCTATAGCCTATAATGGGTGACCAGCTAATTAGATACAGTGAGTCCTATTTCTAGCTGCGATCACCCCTCACTACTGCTATTAGTGACCGCAGTACAACCGGACTTATTTTACTAGTACTAATTGGGTAGACAGCAACCCTATTAGGATGCACATCTCCTCGGGAAATCGATTTCTTGATCTTCGGGGACTGGTGCAAGTGAGCGCGAGCGCGTAATTGTACGGAGGGCGGGGGAAGCGCGAGACAGACATCCCGCGGGTGGAAGCGCCTTTTCCTCACAGAAATCGAACAAGTGGGAAACTGTTGCTTCCTGGTGATATCTTAACAAAGAAATCGCCATATTCTACTTTTAAATAGTGATTTGGCTACTAAATAATATTTTTTCAAGTGCCAGTAGAAGTTTAATGATTCCTAAAGATAATAAACGATAGGCTATAAGTTGCCTATGCGTGTTTAAAGTCAACTGACTTGAAGACGCTGCAAAGAAGCAGCAAAAGGAGAAGACAGTCGATATTTCAAGCTGACAACAGTCTGAGCAGAGTGACCGTTAAAGAAAAGCCCGAAGGCGCGAGATTCTCTGACATTGGCTATTCAGAGCTGTTCGCGCACGCGAGAGGAGCTGCTCGGTCGTGCGGAGTTACTCTTCAATTTTCATTTTCTCTGGGAACTTATAAGGTAGGCAGAATTGTTTTGCAGTTGACATTTGTTCTTCAGAAATGTTTTACAAACTTTTAGGATGCTATTCTATAGAATTCGGAAATTTTTTGCCTTTTCGTTGGCATCAGAATTGAAGAAAAGAAATGGAAAGAAATATTTGATTTACAGTAATTAGCATCCTGCATTTACCATACAGAAGTTTAAAGACATTTGAGTGTAAATTTGCAAGACCTGGAGTCTTGGAAACAAGTAGTTGACACAATATTGATTGTTATCTGATTATTTAAATTAAGAAATCTGTGATAATAGATAGGCTACTGTAGTTTTGGAGAGGTATGTGTCTGTTGTAATGTAGTAATGTATCTGCAAACTCTGTAATATAATGACTATTAAAATGATATAATATTTTAATATAATATGTCTTGTGCATAAATTGTGCCGATTTTTACTGTAAAATGCTCAGTATTGAACAGAAATAAATAACCTCATTACAGTCAGCATCAGTGAATCTTTTGGTAGCTTTTAAGTTATTTCATAGGTTCTCTAATTTATCTCTTTTTATGTTTCAACTCAGTGAAAAACATGTCAAGATGCCAGAGATGGTTGATCTTGGGACCTGGATGTTACTCAGCTGAAGTTTGATGAAGACCACCAGGAATTGAAAATCAACCCTGAGTGCTGTGAGCCAGATCTAAAATTATATTTATAATCCACTTACCATCCGGCTTATAAGACAAGCGAATCACTTAAACCTAAGCATTTGAAGGTTTAAGATTGTCACAAAAAGACAAAATAATATATAACATGGATTGTTTTTGATGAATCTGAATCACAATCACAGCTTTCTTCTGTGAGAGGAGGGGCAGAGTTTGTTTAAATGCTGCAGTGGATATGGACTTTTCTGGGAATTCTCCAGAACGCTTCTTGAATTTCTCATGGAAAAATGAGCTACACCGCTGTCACTCCAATAATCCATAAGGAGACATACCTGGCATACAACAACCCCTGAGAAATACACATCCACATCACCTGATAGAATCTCCATCCTTGGACAACATCGGAGATACCAAATCCCTCATGTTACTTATATCAGACAAGCAATATATGACAATATAAACCTACTAGATCATCCAGAATTGCTGTTCATAGCGATAACCAATGTCCAATGTGTGTCACTCAGAAGAGCTGCTACAGGTTAGAGGGCTGACTGTTACAATTTTAATGTAGTAAATACAAGCAAAAAGATAAAACAGCAGAAACTGAAACTTTGGAAAGGGATGAACACATACATCCTAAAGGATAAAGGATATAATCTGGTTCCATATAGGACATTTGATTAGTTTGTTGCTGCAATCAAGTTTCATCGTATCTGACTCCTTAGTTAACTTTTCTATCTTACCTTAGTCCATTTTCCTTCCCAGAGTTCATTCTGGCCGGGGCTGTTTCTTCTAAAGGGGAGGAGGACTTCCTCTCTATTGCTGCCTCACGCCTCAACCGCAGGAAGCGCGTTATTGGCGCGGCAGTGGGCGTGGCCATGGTACTGGTGCTACTGGTCGCTATTCCACTATTGGTCCACAGCACCAAACTGGGTGGTTCTGGAGGTGGAGGTACACATTATGAGATGCTTGGAAGCTGTAAGATGGTCTGTGACTCTTTAACGCCCACCAATGAACTAACACCTGTTTCACCTCCTCCTCACGACATCCCTGGACGCAGAGGGGGAGGCAAGTCAGGTTTTCGCGGAAACCAAGGCCCACCAGGCCCACGTGGGCCACCTGGAGAACCAGGAAAACCAGGTCCGCCTGGACCTCCAGGTCCAGGCCCAGGGGGATACGTCCCATCGTTCTACAGCCCCAAAATAGCCTTCTATGCTGGTCTGCGCAAACAGCATGAGGGAAGCGAAGTACTCAAGTTTGATGATGTGGTGACAAATGTAGGGAATTACTATGAGCCGACCACAGGCAAATTCACCTGCCCTCTTCCTGGAATCTACTTCTTCACCTATCATGTGCTCATGAGGGGTGGGGACGGAACTAGCATGTGGGCCGACCTAAAGAAGAATGGACAGGTAGGAGATGTGACTCTCTCTCTCTCTCTCTCTCTCTCTCTCTCTCTCTCTCTCTCTCTCTCTCTCTCTCTCTCTTCTCTCTCTCTCTCTCTCTCTCTCTCTCTCTCTCTCTCTCTCTCTCTCTCTCTCTCTCTCTCTCTCTCTCTCTCTCTCTCTCTCTCTCTCTCTCTCTCTCTCTCTCTCTCTCTCTCTGTGTGTGTGTGAACACAATGATTGTGTGCCATTTAGAGCTGCTTTGAGGATGCATTTTAAATTCCAGTTCAACTCCTGAATCAAATTTGGCTAGACTAATCTTGCTACAAAGTTTTAAAAAAAATGTCTACACAGTGAGATTGAATAATAGTTAGAATGATAGATGGAATGACAGAATGATATATAGATAGGTAGACAGATGAATTGCCATTACAGTAACAGAAGAAAAGGTTCTATATAGAACCTTAAAAGATTCTATCAGCGCTACGTATTTGGAACCCCTAAAAGGTTCTATACACTCTTAAAAAAGGGTTCCTCTCTATATAGAACCCTGGGGTTCCATACTTGGCCAATAGAACCTTTTTATCAAAAAAAATGGTTCTATGTAGAACCATTTTGGAGTTCCATATATGAAGCGGGGGATGGAACCATTTCTGGTTCTAAAGAGAACCATTTCTTCTAAGAGTGAGATAGATAGATAGACAGATAGATAGATAGATAGATAGATAGATAGATAGATAGATAGATAGATAGATAGATAGATAGATAGATCAGCCCATTCTCATCCCCAGACGTCATATACAGCAAAAGCGTAGACATCTAACGCACATGGCACCCTTTAGCGTCAAATGAGACGCAGATATATATGGGGCAGAAGGCGCCTCCTAGTGGTCTAACCCTAACCCTACCCCATACCTAAACCTACCATAACCGAAGCTTCTCATTTGACGCTAAAGGGTGCCATGTGCATTGGATATCTACGCTTTGGCAAAAGTGTCGTATATGACGCCTTGGGATGAGAATCCGTTGGATAGATAGATCGTGTATTGGTATCGGATAGACCAACTCGTGTATTAAGGGACCAAATTCTTAAAGTTTCATAAACCTGGTGAAAATAGCATTTGGATTCACTCTACCCAAAGGTAGAGTTTGCTAACCAAGTTTTAAGAGGCACTTCAACTAGACAAAGGTCAGGCGTGAATAGAGTCTGATTTGACTGAAATATCAAACAAATATTAGATTCACCGAGGAAGGGATTAAGGAATACGTTTAAAATTCAGATAGGATTCAGTAAGGCAGCTGCTCAATTATTTAGCAGTCATTTTGCCTGTCTATCACTTGTAGCCTTACTGAAGATACCGCTGGGAAAAGGACAATGCAAACATTAAACAATTAAAATGTTCAGTTTTATAAGAAAATAAAGACTTACAAAGAGCATAACATATTGGTTCAAATGTGATTTGAAATGTGCCTTTTATTTAGAAGTTAATTTGGGTCTGTTTAACAGAGCTTTTAAATAAATACATTTTGCATAGTCACAAACAACATTAGGTTAACAGTTTGCAATGAAAAAAGGACATTAGTAACACACAAACAAGCAAACACTTTCTCTTTGTCTCTCTCTGGAGTGGAACGAGATGCAACAGCTGGAGACAGTCCTCACAGGACCCGTGGATTTAGAATAAGTGGAAAAAGTGAGAGGAGAAAAAAACCTCTCCATCTGGTGAAACATGACACGGATCTGGGATTCAGGCTCTCTCAACTCAACCGCTCAGTTTTGATTTTTAGGAGTTGAACAGAAAGTGGGGATTATCCAAGAGATATATAAAATATTCCCTTGGCAACACTTGTTTACATACACACTGTCTCTTTCTCGCACACACACGTGGTTTTGTGACAGATATATCAAACAGGAAGTGATGAAAACCCTTTAATGAGACTGAAGCAATCTGTCAGCTTCCCTTCAACACAGCCATTAACATGACATAACACCTGCCATTTATGCCCCATGTATATGCATCATATAATCCCAGAACAAAAGAAAATGAATCCACAACTTGTATCTGTGAAATAAGAGGTGGAACTGGTTCTTTTCAAAAGCATGAGCCATCTCAGTTAAATATATTGATTCAAATGCACAAGCTCTGCATGCAAAACCAATCTCAGAATCACATTTTAAGCCAGTGAATTCCTTTTTTTTTTAAAGAAACTGATGAAAAGAAAAATACATTTTTACATTGATCCAATAGATTCAACACCCAACTTTGTTAGGTAACCTTAATGCATCACAAAACTTAACTGGTTAAATTTACATAGACATTGGTTAACCAATGAAAATATTTTTTTCTGTTCAGATGGAAATCTCATCTGAAAAACTGATTTTACTTGTTGCTGTTATAGCAGATCAAGTGACCTGAATTGACTTTACTAACAATAGCAACATTAATACAGTATCAAATTTGTTAAATATGTTATGGACTGATTAAGCGGTCTCTCTGACATAATACAAAATACAATATCAGTTGTTCTGTGGCCCGTAACCAGGCTTGGGAATTCAACAGCCTCCATTAAGTGGAGGACAAGATGCAGAAATGAGAAGATGAGGAGAGTAAGCTTAGGCAGTGTATGGCATCCATGTTGTATTGCATATTGTCATTCCAGTGATCTCCTCTTGTGTTAAATCATTCATGTCTTTAAGATGAGATTCCCTCTTTTCCACCTGGGCCAGACACACACAAACACACACACACAGAGCCACACTCTGCCACTCAGCCAATCTTTGCCCTTCGATTAATTATCTCTCCTCTTAGCTAAATTATTTAACCCATCTCAAGGTCCTCTCAAAGCATTCTCATAAACATACACAACTGCGCCAAAATAAGTTTGGGTTGCTCTTAAAGGGATAGTTCACCCAAAGTTGAATTATATGAAATAGATAGAATAAATATTATTTCTCACCTAAAACAACAGTTACATGGGCAGGTTTTTCAACACTTTCCACCCCAAAATTAAAATAGTGTCATAATTTAGTCACCCTCATGTCACTATAATCAATGTAACAAATGTACTTTTGTGGAATATAAAGATGTCCATACAATTTATCTATGGGGATCAACGTTGTTTGGGGCAACAACGGACAGAAAGCCATATACGTTTTGTTTGACATGAGGGCAAAAATATAAAAGGATGACATGACTTTTCATTTTAGACTGTAAACTGTTGCACTGTAAAAAAATAAATAAATAAATAAATAAATCTTTTCAGGATTAGTAATAATGTTTTCTTTCGTCAAATCAACTTAAATAATTTATTTAGTTCAGATAACATATAATTTTGAGTTTCTGATGATTGAATCATTCTCCTTCATTGTATTAACTCACTTTTTCAATTTCAATGAACTTAAAATTTTAAGGCAACCAGGTTGCTTACTTTTTTAAGTTAAACCAACAATATTTTTTACAGTGTGTAAAACCTGCCCATGTCACTATTGTTTCAGGTGAAAAACAATATCTACACTATTTATTTTAACCATTTTAAATTGAAATAGCAACTGAAAAAGGCAAAAGAAAAATCTAAAGTGTGAGCCCTCCCAGATGAGGAGGGCGTGCGATGGGAGGCGAGGTAACATGGTGTGGGATGATAGAGAGATGAACGGAGGAGAGGAAGATGGATGGCTAATCAGAGGAGAGCCGACAGAGAGGTCGGGAGAAAGTGTTACTGCGAGGCCAGAGACACAGACAGCATCAGATCAATGTAAGTAAGATAGATGAGCAAACCGACAGAAAGTGTGAGCGTGTGTGAGAGAGAGAGAACGAGAAATGACTACTGACCTCATTGCAGGTCGTAGACTTGCACAAGCCGTTACTCCAAACATAGTCTATGAACTTCTAGATTGCAACGCACTTTGAGACAAGCGAAAATCTGCGGCCTGTATAACTGCAGCGAGATCATGGCAGTTAGTTTTATTTTTAGAGAACTGAATATTAATGTATTTACGAAATGCCACTTATTAGTTGAAGTTTGGCTCCTCGTGGCAGGAATAGATTGCATGGGGCCGAATAAGAAACGAAAACAGCATCACGAGGGGGGCAGCAGGGAGCTCAACATCCACAAATTAATGTCACTCAAGCAGAATACCCAGCCAATTTGCTTCTCATTACAAATTCAATTAATTAAATCAGTAATTGATTCTTGGCTATGTAAACATGTCTCTTCTCATCCCACAGTATGACTATCGTTATACTAGGTTCAGTTTTAGCACTTCACCTCCCTGCCACTTTTGAAAACCTCCCCCTCGCTCTCTGTGGTCTCGTCAGTCTATCGCAGCACTAATTACGGTGTGATGCAGAGAAATTGTTAGAAAAGCTTCAAACATCCTGTCAATTACACAGCAGCTAATGAGTTTACATCCTCCAATTAATTAATTAATATAGTTAATGAGGTAATCCCACAGTACCTTGCAGCTGTTGCAATAGACACTTGTACATCCGTTTTCCCTGTATATTCGCACTTTCCCTGCCCCTGTTTTCTTCTTTCATATCTCTATCTCTCATTTCCTGTACTTTCACTGCCCTTTGAATGGCCAAAGGTCGGTCACAAACAAACTCTGAGATTAACATCAGTGTGTGTTTATAAGAGGGCCATTCACGAGAGTACATAGAGTACAAAACACAAATATACATGAACCTGCTGCTGCAAGGCTTTATTCCCAAGAACAGCCCTTTTTGTCCAAGGACATACTGAGAAACACACTTGAAGCATTTAACCTTGAAGCAGGATGTAAAGGAAAATAGAATAATGACATTCTGCTTGGAAATGATTGTAAATGTCTTTGGACTGTTTAGGAGGAAACAATTTTGTACTTATATGAAGCACATCAAATTTGTACTTTTCATTCATCTCGTGTTTTATCTCATGGATGTAGCAGTGTCACCCATTGGTTGGCAATCCAACAAAGACTGTTTGCACAAATGTCTCTATATTGTCTGACAACATAAGAGAAAATGAGAAAGACCATTAGAACTGAATACATTCTTCATATCCACTTTTGATTATGTCACGAAACTGGTCTTTCTCAGTTCCCCTGTATTTCACTTGTGTCAGAAAAGCTAAATCAGTCATATTGGCCTACTCAGAAACAGGGGATTTGTATGAATGCAAAATTACAGGAGATAAATGGTTCATTCATGAATTCATAAATCACAATGTTAACCTTTAGCAACAGAACATGATATATTCTGAGGTTACACACTGTTACGCTGCCACTGCCCTCTATTTGAGAGGACTGACATTCTATAATTATTATTAGTGATATTATTATCATTATTACTTGATAAGAAATGTACGAATATTAGCTACAGAATATTTGTTTTTTTTACAGAAATGCCTTAAATACAATTTAGTACTTTTAGGAATTGCCAAACAAATAAAATCCAAAGTAACATTATTTAAACAAATAATAAACTTTTAAAAAAACAGAAAATAGACTGAAAAGTAACCGTAGCCACGTGTCGTGTTTATTTTTTGGCTTTCATGAAAGTCAGGTATATACATTCCCAACCAAATAAAATTAATTAAGTTCACCAATTCGCTGTGTGCATTTCGTGTAGCCTACAGTGTGTACGTTCACTTCTTGCAATTGATTGTTTTATTTGACTCTTGAATTTATTTAAAAAATAGCATTTACTTACATTATCATCACTCTTTTCTGTCAGAAGCTGTATAGTTTAAACCGAAGACCTGCTATTTAATCTGAGAACGGGTCCTTGAAATCACTGGGGAAAAACAACACACATTTAATAAAACACAACTTCCATATCGTTTAGACATTTATTACCAGCTAGCTGTATCTCTGTGTTTCACGCGCACACACACCAAGTTAATGGTTAGTGACTCCATTTGACCGGTGGTCGGTGCGAAGCTCCGTTTATTGTGATACAGTGGAGTTATTGAGGAGTGGGTCCCATTAGGAGCAACAGCCGAGCCACAGCGCCGGTCAATTACCGAGACAGCGAGGCCCCGACGCAGACCCAGGCCTCCCGCGGGACCTGCCACCTCGCGCCGTTAATCAATCCGATTTAGACTGGACAGGGACACGCGCCAACACGAGGCACGCAGTGGAGACACGCGCGTGACCTGCATTTTATTACGATTCCCGCAGAAAAAGATGGATAGATGGTGCAAGGAATGAACAGATACGGGGGAAGAGGTGGAGGGAAAAGAAAGATGAGGGGAAAGACAGGGATAATTAATGAGTATGTGAGAAGAATTAAGCTCAAACTCAAGAAAATGTCGATCACTTGAAGACGCGGCGCGGGTGAAAAACATTTGAGAAACATTATTCTTCAAAAGTACAAAGTGTAGCTATCATACTCTAGAATTAAAAAGATAAATATTTTATTGTTTTATTGCTGAGCTTAGTGTGAAGTAGCCAGGCTAGATTAATCTAAATTACTACTACCCAACTCATTAATTATACATATTCAATGGAAATATTAATTAAGCTTTTGTTCTAATACTAAGATCATGCATTATGTAATTAGCAGTGCAAAAATTAGAAGCTTTAGACATTAATCAGTGTTTTGATCTGAATGGTTTAAGACAAATGTGTTGATTTTAATATTGACTTTCAAAAAAGAATGACCTGTTTGTGCTTTGGTTATAATAACAATTAACTACATGTACTATGGGGTCAGGGTTAGGATAAGGTTGTGGTTTAGGTTAGTTGCATGTACTTACGCACCTACATAGCAACTACATGTAACAGAGACACTGAAATAAACTGTTACCATGATTTTTTATAGACTTCTTATTCCAAAAAGTATAATATCAATTAACAACATGGACTTTGGGTTTGGTTTAGGATTACAGTAGTTACTAGTTACTGTTATTATTATAGTAAGTAATGTGGAATTATGTCACCTTAAAATAAAGTGTCACCACAAATAAAATTACGTGAGTTTTACAATTTAACAAATGTGTACATTTGTGCATGACTGGAGACCTCAGTGTTTAACAGCCTTTCCAATAAATTACACACCACACACATACAATACACAGATCAATAAGCCTTATTCCCTTGGACCTTGGTCTGTCTTGGTCTTTAGATATCCCACTTAAGGCATCCGAGAGAGGCATCAGAGAGAGAGAGAGAGAGAGAGAGAGAGAGAGAGAGATGTTTACAAGACATGTTTTGCTGTGATATTATAAAGTTAAAGCTTTAGAGCTTAAACGCATAACATAAATGCACTCCAGGATATCACAACATTTATTTCCATCAAAAGGTGCATTTTTGGTCAAGTTCTTGTTTTGACAATGCAAGAGTCCAGCACTTTGTAAAGTCTCTTCCAGGACATTCCAAAGGTTTTCAATGAAATTAATAATGATGAAATTTCAAATTAAAAAATGATTCTTCCTGCTTCCTCTCATCTTCTCTTTCACAATTTGAGCTGAATATTGATGAATACTGACATTGTCATCCTGAAAATGGCCGTGATGCGTCTTCCTACATGGTTGTTTAAGAAATGAAAAGCTACACACTCCATCCGTTAGTGTTAGAAGAACTGTTTTCAAGCATATAACATACTGGCATAATAATCACTGCGATAATGACCCAATATAGACTCTTAAGCGTTTGCCAGGATTTATTTTGTTGTGTATTTTGTCTTGATCATTGTTCCTTTTATCAAACATTAAAACCATTATTCTCTCTCTCTCTCTCTCTCTTTCAGGTGAGGGCCAGTGCGATCGCTCAGGACGCAGATCAGAATTATGACTACGCCTCTAACAGTGTGATCCTGCATTTAGATGTGGGAGATGAGGTCTGTGTGCAACTGGATGGTGGAAAAGTACATGGAGGAAACACCAACAAATACAGCACATTCAGCGGCTTTCTCATCTACCCCGACTAACAAATATACAAACATACAAAAACACAAATACAATATCACATATTTAACTCCCTCACATCAGACTGATTGATAAACAAAAAAAAAATATTCACGTGATACAACACTTGATATAACATCAAGTGGAAACACTGTAAAATTACTGTAACTTTAAAGCTAAACTTTCTTCTTCATTGTAACCAATTCATGAACCATATACAGTACAGCCAAAAAAGGTTCTGAAAAGAAAATATTACTTTTCTCACTTCACAATCAGAGCAAGTTACTGTGTTTTACAGTAACGATGACAAACTTGCTTTTTCTTTGGAATATTGCGCACAGATAATTCGATCACTAAAAAAAACATGAATGTGTATTAAGAAAGTATAGGGGTCAGCTTCGAAACTTTCTTATAGTCCTCTTGATGTGGTCATGGTGTATTTACTACTTTTTAATTTATTTTCTTTTTTTAACTTGAAATAGACTGGAGCTTAATTGTTTTATTTTGAGCCCACCAATGTTGAAAATTTATTAAGTTGATATTTTTATTTTAGATAATAATACACTATGCCTGTTAAAACCATGTGTGAAAAGCGAGCCCGTTTTCATCCCAAAGAATGCGTTGGAAAAGCTCATCCAGATCCATATATCATTAGGAAAAAAAGGATTACCAAATTATTTTTGTTGCATTTTACTAGATCTCCATCCTCTGCATCATGTGTATGTGTGTGCGTAACTTGGAAAAGTTTGTATGCATTCCATGGCATGGAAACTGTATGTTTTTAACCTCTATGTCTACTAAGTATGTACACAGTGTTTATACTGGAGAAATTTCGAGACTATTGTGAAATTATATATATATAATTAACTACTCACTCTCTGTATAATGGGACAAAACATCCTGTAGAGTCAGTTGTTAGTATACATTTACAGTAAAAGTGACCTGATCCGTGTGTGTGTGTGTGTGTGTGTGTGCGCATGTATCAGCAATTTACATTTTTAAGTGTGTCCATATCAATAAAAAGTGTTTGAAATTTGCTTCTTGTAGATATTTGACTTGTAGATTGATTGCTGTTGTAAAGCCTTGCTGTTAATTAATACTTAATGCAGACTTTTATTCTGGCATGTTAAAGAGCCTACATGCTGTAAATAAAAAATAAACACTTTCGTGTCAGTCTTTATTTCTGAGTATAACACACATTACGTAAATTGCCAACTAATTGCCTTCCATTTTTAATTTTAAAAGCTGGACATTTGATGATCTAACTCATTTAAATTGAGTTTTTGTATTTGTATTGAATGCCAGGAAAGCCACTTATCTAACCAACACATAATCAATAAATGTCTCCCCCAATTTGAAACTGAGCTCTTAATACTCCTATAAAAAAGCACATGTAAGGTAGAAATACAGTTAAAATAGATTTAAATCCCTTTCTTTCCTTCTCTCACACAAAAACACCACTAATTAGTGAGGAAGACATTGACAGTGTTGATTACTATTCACCACCCAGACACAGACACTTCCCCTTGGTAATGAGGGGAAATAGATGGCTGGGCATCCTTTGAAGGACAATAGTAAAAAGGTCAAAGAGATGTTGGCTAGACCGCAACACCAACACTCTCTGAAATTATGATGACTCTGGCAGAAACATGGTTAGGAAGGAGAAAGTTTCACTGTTTGTCAATCTACACTGACATTGCAGGTCTCTACAGCTCAAATTAATTGTGTACGCAAGGCCTCACAATCACAGTTTAAAATATCATTTGAAAAAGCACAGAAGGATAAAAGATTCTCACAAACGGATATCATAGACATGAACATGAAAACGTCTCCATATAGATGATAGATAGGCCATAATCATCAAAATGATAACAAATAAAGGCTTGAAATATCTCACTTTGCATGCAATCTATAATATCTATATAATATTTCACCTTTTAAGTTGAATTACTGAAATAAATGAACTTTTGCGATATTCAAATTGTTTGAGTTTCACCTGTAGATAGATATAGATTAGGAAAAGTCAAGAAGGTATAGGCCTATCATATTGATAAGCATGTTTACTGTGCCATTAAATGGGCAGAATATGAGATTATAATCGTTAGGCAATCATAGCATACATTGATTCTCGTGGAAAAGTGAAAATTACAGGTTATGACTCCTTTAAACTATGCTGTCATTGTCTACTTACCGAACAATCAGCACTAAACAAACCAAACGCAGCACTGACAACTTTACTTTAGACAGCAGCGACACCTATTGGGTACTTTTAGATATTGCTATTTGAAGACTGGACTTGAACTTGAACTTGAACATTAATAGTTCGAGTCGAGATGGCCCAGTGCATCCAGTAACAACATTGACAGACAAATTTTCTTCCTGCTCATTATCACTAGCCATTCAAAATGACTTGCTGTTTGCTGGTGTGTGGTAAATAGCCTACTGTTATTGAGCGTTAAGAAATCAAGTGATTTGGGTGATTTGCCTTTACATATTTCTACAGCTTGAGAGAAATATGAGGCTACTTTAACCCAGGTGGTAGAGGTCCATCAAGGTTACTTAAATACGAGGACTAAGCGACTACATCAACCTATTGTGCAAAGCTCAACGTGGAGATGTGATTCACTATTTGGAGAAGGGGGTTGGGATACAGATAAGTAACTGGCCCCCCTTTTCCGCCATTTTGGTTCAAGTTTTCTCAAAGCTGCAAGAGAACTGTAAACCAAGAATTTGAGCCAGAATGGGGGTCGTTTCATAGTCACTCTAGCAAAAAACAAATGACCGCCAGAGGGCGGTGGGTGGCAAAACTTTGGAGCAGACAAAGATGGCGGTACGGAAGAAAGACGGCGGCCCGAATGTAAAATATTTCGAAGCGTCTGATACCGTCTCGCAGTTCGACAATGTCCGAGTTTGGCTGGGCAAGAATTATAAAAAGGTACAATTCGTTTATTTGTAACCAGCACGAACGGTCATTGAGTTATTTGTGCAGGAAAGGACAGACTCGATGCGGGTAGGCAGAGAGGAGAGGGGAGGGCAGGAAAGGAGATGGAGAGAAATCCAGCTGTTTAAAATCCAGTCTGACGCGTCTCAGACAATAGAAGATGCTGCATGCTTGTCTTGAGAAAAGTCTTAAGACGTACCCAAGGATCGGCTTCATCTTCAATATCTGATGTCGTTTCTACATCTCTGGCTAGTCATTAGACCTTCTCTAATAGGGTTTTTATGAATGGCCTTTCTCTTTTATTCAAGAGAGGCCAGCTCGTGTAACGGGGCTGCGGTATTGGCAGCGCAAGTGCGTGAATCCAGATGTGCAGCCAAATCTCGCGCGCTGTGCTTATAAAAGCTGCAATGTGATACAGACGATGAGAAATTCACAGAATATTTTTTCTCTGCGTAATTTACTCATGGAAATGACTTGGAATTCGACAATATAGTGTGCAACGAAATCTTAATTTCCCGCTAACTAAACACCTCAGTTGAATGAAATTGCTAATGTATTTCATATATGAGGTAAAGAAATAAATTCTTTACATATAAAACGTTTATATATATATATATATATATATATATATATATATTTCAAAGCAAACCTATTTTAATGCATTTACACTGAAATTATTGCAATAATAATATTATGAAATTAAGGTTACAATACAGAAACATAAATGAATGAATTTAAATTTCAAGTAAAAATATGAAACTTATTTATAAAATATGTGCACTGTCATCACAGCGTTTGAGGATGAGGATGCATTGACGTTCAGTCATTTACATCTTACTCAGAGCATCCTTCACTTTTATGTAATATAAAAGTACTGATTTTGACATTTTTTTAAATAGCGAAGTGATGCAGATTGTGATAAATGTAGATGTTCCATTTATGTATGGAGGAAAGCTGACAGATCAAGCATGTCCATGTGTTTTTAGATCTATGACTGAAATTGTATTTATTTTCCATTTTTTTAATTTAATAAATACTTTCTTTTCTTGAATTGTATTATCAGCATTACATTTGAGCGAAAGTTTGAATTAACATAAATTTGAGCCTCACATACGTTATACAAAATTGCAATGGTCACAAAATATAATTCTGATAAATCAGAATGGCCAAATTAATTAATCAATCAATCAATCATTAATCTGCTGGTTGATGTATTGCTCTGTGACAAATCCTTATGTATGTTTCTTTGTATTATGTTTTCTAGCTCCTTATACTTTCTGTGGTTCTTTCTAGTATATTCAAGCAGAGCCCCCCACCAATAAATCTTTATCGAGTCTGGTGGTTCAACTGCTTCAGTTTCAAGAGGAAGTGTTTGGCCGACATGTCAGCAACCCTCCCCTTACTAAGCTACCGGTACTCACACAAGCCTTCTTTCAACACAGTATAAAGTAATCAGTGCGCCATGTAGATTTCTGATGATGCTCTGCTCTCCTCTCTCCCGTAGATGAAGTGTTTTTTGGATTTCAAATCTGGAGGAGCCCTGTGTCATATTCTGGCCGCTGCCTACAAGTTTAAGAGTGATCAAGGATGGTAATGCTCTTCTGTCTTCTTCTCTTTCTTTCACTCCTCTTTATTATTTGACATTATAATTATTTAAATTAATAATGAAAATGAAAAATGATAAATATGTATACACTGCTGAGCCAAAACATTATGACCAGTCATGGGGGAAGCGAACATTGAGCTCCTAAGAAGGGCACATATTAAGATCTGGGTAGATTAGATGGTAAGCAAACAATCAGTTCTTATAATCAGTATGTTGGATGTAGGAGAAATGGGCCGGAATAAAGATCTGAGCGACTTTGACAAGCTAGGGCCAAATTGTTATGGCAAGGCGACTGAGTCAGAGTATCCCTGAAATGGCAAGGTTTGTGGGTTGCTCCCTGTCAGCAGTGGTTCGACTTCGAAGCACAGACCATTGACAGGGTGTTGGGTGCCCAAGGCTCATCAATGCATGAGGGCAACAAAGGCTATCCCGTCTTGTCTGAGTCAACAGAAGGTCCACTGTGGCACAAGTTACACAAAATATATTAATTATGGCTATGGGAGGAATGTGTCACAATGCACCGTGTATCTCAGACCAATCAGAGTGCCTATAATAACCCCTGTCCACCGGTGAAAACGCAAGTGTTAGAACTGGATTGAGCAATGGAAGAAGGTCGACTGGCTCGATGGGTCGAAGGGTGGACTATTTAAGAATCTATTAATTTAACATGTATGTTTGCCACTTATTTGAGTGGCTTAATCAATTGTTGTATAATTTCTCTGGCACTTAACCTTCTGACACACTCACCAAGAGAGTCGTGATTCGCCTCCATCGTGGTGTCAATTGGTCCTTATGCTGCTGAATAGATTCTGCATGACATTTTCATTTCAACTTTCTATTAGTGTAGTAATCCTGTAGTGTTAAAGTGCTCACCAGTGATACATAAAGTGCCCACTTCAATGATTACGGATCAAAAACCTAATTCATACTCATTAACTGTTCACTTTTGTATCCATCAGGAGGAGATTTGACTTCCAGAACCCTTCCAGAATGGACCGCAATGTTGAAATGTTCATGACTATAGAGAAATCTTTGGTACAGGTGTGTATCAAATGCAATATTACAGACACAGTGTTCCGGTCAGATGAACATTTACTTGCAATCATCAAATGGTTGGATTTATTGTGAGATTGAATAATATGTTTTTTTTTGCTTTGTAGAATAACTGTTTGTCCCGACCTGTGATTTACCTGAGTTCAGAGATAGAGCCCAAACTACTGGGAAAACTGAAGGACATCATTAAACGACACCAGGTACTTCCAAACACCATTCGTTTTAGTTGTTACAAAGGCCATCTAGTTATGGCTGGATAATGTGTTTTTAAAAAGTATTTTTTTTTTTTGTATTTTAATCATTTATTCATTTCAGGTTTTTTTTTTTTAGCTTTTTATCATATTCATAATAATATAATCTAATATTTACCTGCATCTAAGCAGCATCTCTCTACTAGCATAGAAGCTGTGAGTTTAATTACTTCAAAAACAGTAACATTACAGCCTCCTTGTTGAGTAATAAAGTGTAGTGATTCAGTTGCGAAGTTAACTTATTAATAAAAGTTATGGGGAAGCATTGAAAACAACTTTTCATGTGTGCACACGCACACGCACACGCACACACCACGATCTCCGATCTCTTTGTCGTGTGTGTGCTTCAGTGAGATCAGTGAATTTATCCAGAACGGTGACTAAATTGACACCTTCCAGCCAATCAGAATTGAATATTCTGACAGACCATGGTATTAATATATATATATATATATATATATATATATATATATATATATATATATATATATATATGAAGAGTTCAGATGCAAAAGCCTCTAAGTGCCATTTGAAATTTTATTCTAAAATGATCATTTTTATCAAGCTTGTATATTTAAGTTCAGTGATTTCACTTAAATGGCAATGAAGATTACCTATTAATTGTCATTTAAGTGAAATTACTGAACTTAAATATACAAGCTTGATAAAAAATGGTCATTTTAGAAGAAAATTTCAAATGGCATTTAGAGGCTTTTGCATCTGAACTCTTCATATATATATATATATATATATATATATATATATATGCCGTGAAATACATTAAAAGTTAAGGTATAAAACTAACCTACTGATACAGCTTTATTTAGAATGTCACTTAAGTTTACATTTGCATAATTTAAAAAGAAATCATTTTTATGATTTTTATATTTGAAATATTGATCAGTCCATATTTCAATATTTTATTTCTTTGAAGTCAATCTGGATCAAGAAATGACATCTTATTTGACATGTATGTGTGTGTTTTAGGGGTCTGTGACTGAAGATAAGCTTTCGAGCTCTCATGTAGTGGTGCCTATTCCTGCTAGTCTGGAGGACGGTACGTTCTGCTGTGTGTTGTTCATAGTGTAAAAATATACATTCACAGTTCACACACATGCGTAGGGTGCAATGGGACCAAACACCCCCCTAGGTTAAAATGTTCCTCTTGTATTCTCCCAAAAGGCCTGTTTGTCAAGGCTTTTAGCCCCTTTGTGTCGCTCCATTTAAACAGAAGAATGGTTTTCTGCATTAATATTGTAATTGGTATGTGTGTGGTTTTCAGAAGAGTGGGTCCGTCCTGTAATGAAGAGAGACAAACAGATGCTGCTACACTGGGGCTACTGGCCTGATAGGTGAACACACACACACACACACGTGCACACACACAGTTAAGGTGTGTATATGAATGCAGGATTAATGTGCTGTGTTCATGATGCAGTTATGACACATGGATCTCAGCCAGTGAGGTGGAGGCTGCTGTGGAGGATCCGCCCACTGCTGAGAAGCCCAGGAAGGTTAGAAACCCCCCCTTACCTCTCTCCATCTGTCTCCAATCCTTTACCTCTCTTTTTCTTTGTCTCTTTTGTCTTGCACATGCTCTATCTGCCTTTCATGTTGTTGTTTTTTGATTAGCTGATGGTTATCTGAGAAATCCAGCCATTTATCACCTGACTTTATCACCTGACAAGTTTATGTGTTCGTGTGTGTAGGTTCATGCCAAGTGGATTCTGGACCTGGATCAGTTTAATGAGTGGATGAATGAGGAAGACTATGAGGTGGGAGAGGGAGGACCGAGGAGGAAGAGGATTTCAGCGAAGACTCTCACAGATGAAGTGAGCACTCCAGATGAAAGGAGGGATAAAAAACCCAGCAGTGCCAAAAAGAGGAAGCGTTCCCCGTCTCCATCTCCTACCCCTCCACCGCAGGAGAGCAAGAAGAAAAACACCAAGAAAGGGTATTTTTTTATTACGGAATCAGTGATATTTGTTTCAGAGAATTTCTGAAATGGATTTATTTTTTAGATGTATTTAAATATATGAATTATATGAAATCTTATTTTCACATCACAGGCCCAAAAGTACCAGGCCCGTATCCACCATAGGAGGAAGTGTATGCCCTTAATATTTAGTGGCTAATAAATTTCAATGGATTCCTAAACTGTTATCCCTATATAAATTTAAATATCATTCAACACAATTTTCAAGAAATGTTACATACAGAATATTTTGAAACAATGTTGAGAAGAAATGATTTCATAAAGATAAAAATGGGGCATCTAAATAAAAATTCCGTATTTTGTCAGAAAATGCATAAAGCATTTAAAAACACTAAAAGCATGATATTTTAATTTCAATAAAAGTAGAATACTGGGAAAATTTAAGTTTGTGCGCCAAATCATGTTTGGCATTACACACAAAATAGATTTGAGATATCAAATAATGTGTATTTCATTAAATCAATGGATGCACTGGAAATGTAAAGATGACACTCTGTGTGTGTGTGTGTGTGTGTATATGTTTTCAGGCCCACTACACCCTACACTAAGTCCAAAAGAGGACAGAGAGAGGAAGAACAGGAAGATCTGACTAAAGAGTTAGATGAACCCTCACCTGTGCCTGCAGTGGAGGAAGCTACACTACCTAAAACAGGTAAATTCACACATCTTTTTACCTAACAATTGGGTCTCTATCGTGTGTAATTTTGATATTTGTGTGTGTAGTGACTAAGAAGGATTCAGATTCTACTCCAGTGAAAGGAGGCACTATGACTGACCTGGGTATGTCTGTACAGTAGCTTCTGTCTCTAACACACCTGCCACTCAGACTAACCGAAAGGTGAAGTGTGTCTTTTCTGCGAAAATAAAGGATGTCAACCTATGAATGTCTGCTTAAAGCTGTCTTCGCACATTGAGCTGAAATAGGAGGAAGCTTGTTAATGACAGGCACATGAAAAGCACACACTTCAGCTTTCTGTTCTAATTAACAATGTTTTTTTTTTTTTGCAAAATGAATTCACTTCTGAGTTTATTTTTTCTTCTGCTATCACACCTAGATGAGCAAGAGGATGAATCAATGGAGACTGTTGGAAAGGTACAGCAGCAATTATATGAGCCACATTTCACTGTTTTTATGCTCACAAGTTTCAGTTAATTTTTTATATATACTGAGACCAAATAATAACCATGCTTCTGTTTTGGATTTTTTTTTTTTTTCATTTAATTGAAAAGTATTAATTTATTATGTAATACTTAATATATAAATAAACAATACATGTTGATTTATTATTAATTGCATTTTTATATCTAAATTAAAGAATCATAACAATTTGAGAGAAAATATTATATAAAAAAAATAAGAATTTCTTATTTCAATTTCTAGTTGTATGATCTCCATAAGTTAGTACAACAGGGTTTGATTGTTTTAAATTGATCAAAATCTTAACATTTAGCTAATTTACATATTTATATTAGACTAGGTTATCAATATTGTCTAAGATGTTTAAATCCCATAGTAGCATTCATGGTTAGCTTTACGTTTGTGGGTTTCTAGGAGGAAGAAGAAGGTTCCCAGAGCGTGAAAGGAGAACCGGTGAAGGGATCCGATCTTCATGAGGATAATGTCACTGAACAGACCCATCATATCATTATCCCTAGCTATGCTGCTTGGTTTGACTATAACAGGTACTGCGACTACGCACACACACAGCTTTGAAACATCAAGAATCATCAAGAATCACCCATTTAGATAGGCAGCAATTGGCAATTCTGTTTTGACACTATATATAAAGCAAGAGTCAAAACAAAGTCTGAATGTGACAGTCTATTTCTGTCTCTTTTAGTGTCCATGCTATTGAGCGCAGAGCACTGCCTGAGTTTTTCAATGGAAAGAACAAGTCGAAGACTCCTGAAATGTAAGAATATCTGCTGGTGAACAAATACACAAAGATTGATTTGAACTTAAATGTGTCTCTATTGACCTTCGTTAAAATGCCCGTATTATGCTATTTTAAACTTGGGGTCTATTTTATTTGTTGTGCACTTTGATCTTTAAAACTTAGACCTTTTACATTCACAATCAGCTTTATTAGAGACTGTGTGAAAGCTAATATAACAAGTATAAAGTATAATAGGGGCACTTTAATTGGCTTTTCCACCCTGTTTCATCTTCACACTTTGCTGTGTTACAGTTATCTGGCATACCGTAACTTCATGATCGACACGTACAGACTGAACCCACAAGAGTATTTGACCTCCACAGCTTGCCGTAGAAACCTGGCTGGAGATGTTTGTGCCATTATGAGGTCTGAGAAAATAATTACACCTCTAAAAGACCTGTTTATATTATATATGCATGGTTCTTTTTGACTTGATGAATGTTGACTGTGAATGTGTGTGTGAACAGAGTCCATGCGTTTCTGGAACAGTGGGGCTTGATTAACTATCAGGTGGATTCAGAAAGTCGGCCCACTCCCATGGGGCCTCCACCCACCTCACACTTTCACGTACTGGCAGATACTCCATCAAGTCTGGTACCACTACAGCCTAAAGCATCCCAGGTCAAATAAAACACACATGTATTCTTGCTAGAGATTACTTATTTTTTCTTTCTTTTCTGCGACAGCCCTTAAAAACACACTTTCCATGTAAATTGTTGTCTATATTCACTTATCTAAGCTCTTTTCTTCTCTTCGTTCCCTCTAGACTTCATCTTCTCAACAGATGCTATCATTCCCTGACAAGGTGAAGGACAAACCTGCCGACCTACAGAACTTTGGTTTGAGGACAGATGTGTACAGTAAGAAGAGTGGTCCAGTTAAAGTAAGAGCCGCATATTAAATATCACACATGGTGTAGAGAGAGTGTGAGGTTGAAAGGAATTTTGCAATATGAAGTATGGAGATGATTTTGATCACTGTGAGAAAGATTAAGGACCTTTTTTTGTCATTGCACAGAATAAAAATGCTGCCAGTGCCACTCGGGAATGGACGGACCAGGAGACGTTGCTACTGCTGGAGGTACTGTATATACATATAAAAAATCTGAGACCACTAGTCAAAATGCTTTTTTTCTTATTTAATATTATTTTTTTATTATTACAAATTACACTACTGCTCAAAAGTCTTGTATTCTCACAAATGCTGCATTTAATTGCTAAAAAATACAGAAATTTGTGAAATATTATTACAATTTAAAATTACTGTTTACTATGTTAATATATTTGAACATAGTTTTTTCCAGTTATGGTAAATCTGAATTTTCAGCATTATTACTCCAGTCTTCACTGTCAATGGATCCTTCAGAAATCATTCTAACATGCTGATTTTGTGCTCAAGAAACATTTCATATTATCATCAATGTTGAAAACAGTTGTGCTGCTGTATTTCTTATGTATAATATTCAATATTTTTGTGTAAACTGGGATTCTTTGATAAATTAAAATCATTTGAAATATATTTTTTGTAACAATGTCATTTTTGATCGATTTAATGCAAATCCTACTGACTGTAAATTTTCTGTTGTGTTAACTCAACTTCCGCTCTTTCACACTCACATAATAATTCCCGTTTGTTCTCAGGGTCTAGAGATGTATAAAGATGACTGGAATAAAGTTTCGGAGCACGTGGGCAGCCGCACACAGGATGAGTGCATTCTCCACTTCCTGCGTCTACCGATTGAAGACCCCTACCTGGAGGAAAGCTCCGCCTCCCTGGGCCCGCTAGCCTATCAGCCGGTTCCGTTCAGTCAAGCGGGGAACCCTGTTATGAGCACTGTGGCGTTCCTGGCCTCTGTGGTTGACCCACGAGTGGCTTCAGCTGCTGCTAAATCTGCGCTTGGTGAGAAGTTACATTATTAAAGTAATAGTTTAAACAATAATTAAAAACATTATGCTTACCCTTAAAATGACAATATACAACAACAGTGAATAGTAACTGAGCTTAAGCTCCAAAAAGGGTGAAATATATCACAAAAGTAGTTGTATTTTGAATTTTTCTACATGAACATCATGTTTCTCTTCTCTTTCTCAGAGGAGTTCTCTCGAATGAAGGAGGAGGTACCAGCTGCATTGGTGGAGGCTCATGTGCGTCGAGTGGAGGAGGCGGCCAGAGCAAGCGGAAGGTCAGACCCTCTCTACGGCCTGGAGGGCAGCGGCATCGCAGGAACCGGTCTTGAAGACTCTGACAAACCCGGTAAGTGAACAAACAAATTTTCTCTAAAAGTAAATAGTGAGAGAACTTAACTTTGTATGGTTGTTTTTTCAGCAGAGGATGGAAATGAGGAGAATAAAAGCAATGATGGTCAATCCAGCCAAGATAAGAAAGACAATAAGGTGTGTACAGACAAAATAAGTGCATTGTAGTCCAAAAGTCTGAGACTGCATTGAAAATGTTGGATTAAAAATCTGATTTAAACCGGGAAGGGGAAAAAGGGTTTTAGGATTTTGGAAAATGTGTATATATATATATATATGTATATATATACACACACACACACACATATGCATACATGGGATCTGTAACATTTAAAATGTTTTTAAAAGTTTGTTATTTTTACTAAGGATGCATTTATTTGATAAAAATGGTAAAAACTGAAATATTGTGAAATATTATTCGAATTTAAAATAATTTCATAATATAGTTTGAAATGTAATTATTAAATTATTAAAGTGATGGTAATACAGTATTAATAAAAATGTCAGTATCATGACCCAGTCCTCAGTGTCTCATGATCAGAAATCATTCTGATTTGCTGATTTGCATTGTTGTTTTGCTCCTCAATAAAGATTTCTTGATATTATCATCAATGTTGAAAATAGTTGAGCTGCTTAATATCTTTGTGTAAACAGTGATATATGTAGTGATATATATATATATATATATTTCAGCATTATTTTATTAATAGAAAGTATACTTATTATAAATTATTAAATTATAAATGATAAATGTCTGTCACTTTTGATCAACTTACTGCATCCTTATTGATAAAACTATTAATTTCTTTGAAAAATCTTACTGACTTCAAACTGTAATAAAGCGTTTGAAAAATTAACAATGAATATCATTTGTAATTAAAAATATACATCTTGATTCAATTAGACAAATGAAATAGCGGTCTCAGGTATTTCAGCTTTCAGTTCAAATGAGATTTATGAGATTTTCTTAATATAAACACATTCATCTCCTGTGTCTCTTATATTTTAGGAGAGCAAAGATGGACCCAGTGAGGAGGAAGAAAAACAAGGAGAGAACGGCAAGAAAGAGGAAGAGAGAGTGAGAGAGGGGGAAACAGACAGAGAGTCAGAGAAAACAGACTCAGAAATGGGTGTGTTAACAGCAATAAAATATATGTGTAAGATAAAAGTCCAACAGAATAAAAAAACAGGACTTATAAGACAAAAGGTTAAAATATGCAGATGTGTAGTGTGATGTAGATATACTAATCCATTATTTGCCTAAAATGCATATAAATGCACTAGAATATAAAAAAACAATCAGTTGTAGAAGACGTGTACAAAACTGCCACTGTATGTGTTGCCCACCGTTGTAGTTAATGAATATATAGAGACAGGGGTGAAGTTACTAACCTGAACTCTTTTGGATCCCGACAGCCGATGGCGAGAAGGAGAAAGAACGGAAGGAGGGATCCGAAGAGGGTCAGAGGGATGGAGAGAGTGAGGGAGAGAAGAAGGCAAAGGTGGAGAGAGATGTAGGAGAGGGAAACCTGTCCACTGCTGCTGCTTCGGCGCTAGCTGCTGCTGCCGTGAAAGCTAAGGTGCGTGAAAAGGTGGAATCATAGTGAGAAAACAAACAGCTTTCCCGCAAATTAAACACTGAACCCTATATTCTTTGATTTCTTTCCTCTCAGCACTTGGCTGCGGTGGAGGAGAGGAAGATCAAGTCTCTGGTGGCTCTGCTGGTGGAGACCCAGATGAAGAAACTGGAGATCAAACTTAGACACTTTGAAGAGTTGGAGACCATCATGGACAGAGAGAGAGAGGCGGTAAGGTCACATGGCTAATGTAGTTTTTGTTTAATAATCAAGCATATTTAGCATATTCAGTGGTTTGTCAGGTTCATTAAATTATAACAAAAGCTTTGTAGATTTGTTGCCTAAAATAACAACATTTTTACAAAACTTGTATGATTTTATTTCTTTCATGCTCTTGAAAAAAAAATGTATATGTAATTAAAATAATTTTTCCTGTCAAAAATAAACATTCTTAAAACAAGTATAAGAACATTTTAGTAACTATTACAATTTAATAACTGTTAATTACATTTTTCCTATTCGTTTTTTTTGGTTACACTTAAAGCCTTTATGTATAGTGCATTATAAATGTATTCATAATGTACATTATAATTCACTATTTTTTTTATAAATAATCAATACCAAAGTTAAAATGTATTATATTTTCTGAAGGCTTGAAAAGCATAAAGTGAGACAGATTCAAGAAAAATAAATGGAACAAATTGCCTTTAAAAATAGTTATTATAATTTTGCTGCCCAAAAATAAGCAAAATAAATCGTACAGTGACAAATTATTTTCGCACTATATTACAAGTCTTTTAAAAACAATATGAGGAACAGTCAGAAATCAAAGTCATTAATGATCATTATTCACTGAAAATCTTCATATTTTTAGGAAACCTGTTACTTTAATTAGAAATGAATATGCATATATGTATATTATGTTTCTAGTTGGAGTATCAGAGACAGCAGCTTCTTGCTGATCGTCAGTCGTTTCATATGGAGCAGTTGAAGTATGCTGAGATGAGAGCCAGACAGCAACACTTCCAGCAGATCCAACACCAGCATCATAGCAACCAGCCTGGCAACCAGTCTGGCAGTACTCCATCTGTAACCCACCAATCTGTCACTCCATCTGTCCCGCCCCCAACGGCAAGCCCCGCCCCTGTGCCCGCCTCTAATGCCCACAGTGAAGCTCCTCCACCTGCCTCTCACAGTTCTCCCCCGACCAACACACAGGCTGGAGCAGCACACGGTAATGACACATGTACACACGCTGTGAGGGTGATATACTGTATCAGTTCCTGTCCAGTAGAGGTGTACATACATCACCATTCGAAAGTCTGGGGTTGATACGATTTCTTTAAAGAAGCCCTTTTTCTTTTTGAAAAAAGCCTCGAATGCTATCCAAGGATGCATTTATTAGAACACAAATACAATAAAAACAGTAATATTGTGAAATTGTATTACAATTCTATTTTAATATATTTTCAAATACATATTATTCCTGTGGTCGCAAAAATGAATTTTCAGCATAATTTTACTCTTCAGTGTCACATGATCTTTCAAAAATCATGCTGATTTGCTGCTCATAAAACATTTCTTATTATTATCGATGTTAAAAACATGAATATTTTGTGGAAATGGTGATACTTTTCTAGGCTGGTCCCACCAGACTCGTACATTTAATTTGTACAGAGAGTTGTAGGCCAAACTTTTATAATGCATCATCAAAATAACACTTTTTTTTGTTTTTTTGTAAAAACATCTTTTAACACTTTTGCATATCGACACCAAATTTTGTATATGTCATTGTCATCTCACACTGACCACACAATTATAATTTGATAACTGTGCTACTACTGGTCAAAACTGATAAGCAATTAAATCGTATTACTAGTGAATGTATTAATTAATGCATAACTCATTGTGCTTTTTTTGTGTTTAGCCCCGATAATTACATTTAATATAATATGTTTATTATGTATAATTATTTTTATACTAATATAATTGTTGTATAATTGTCTAATAGATTATTTTTTCCCTCCAGATTCCAGCACTCCACTTCCAGGGGATTCTCTCTATCCAAACGCCCCTGTGCCTCCACCACAGTAAACGAGACGGTGAGATTTAAAGGGGATCAGTGATTCCAGAGAAGAAATGAAATGAGATTGAAAGCAAAAGATATAGAGATAACTGGAGCGATATCTTCTTTTTTTGTCACTTTCATCATTTTTGGAAGAAAATGATATAAATGAATTCTTGCCAGCATCTTGAACATGACATGATTCAAAATAAATAGCTAAAGCTAAACACAGATAACCTTGACTGACAAGAAAAACAAACAAAAAAAACCTTTGTTTAGACTTTTGGAAAGGTCTTAAACCCAAACCCCTGTTAAAACCCAACAAAAGCACTCCTGACCCTAAAAGTCTGCATCCAAGTACCAGACACAAGGCTCAATGTTTCCTTGTCTGTCCTCCATTTTGAGTAACATCACTTAACTTTGAGTCAAACTACAGGATCCACGGTACCTGTGATCTGCACTTCAGAAGCATCTCAATGTACATTAGGTACTCACATGGAAACAAACAAAAACAAAAGAAAACCCAAGAACAAATTGCACTTTCAGAATGTTTCCCGAACCGTACTTTTTGGAGGGATGAAGCATACTAAGTCAAAATTAGTCCTGACTTAATGGTTTCTTTTATCAATGTTCTTTTTATCACTTTGTATTTGTTTTAATAGAAGCACTCGATTTGGAGTAAGTTCGAAGAGAAACTTGACTTTGTAATCGTTACTTTGTATGTGTGTGGGTGAATGTCGGTTTTACTTTTGGGACAATGTGAAAGCTTTAGTGGTTTGGCCTGTTTTTTTTATGTACAATTCGATTTCAGCATGAGGGAAAAAAAGAGATTACAAATTAGTAGCCTTTTAAATCTGTTTACTTTGTATGAAGCATCTCTGACAACATGTACTGTAAACCTGGAAGTCATGTCATCAATAATTGATGTTTGCATGTTATTTTTTGGGGGGGTTTGTGTGCACGTCATCTGCCACAAAATATCACAAGTTACTCTACCTTTCTAACAGATGAAAGTAGTTTTGTTTCATTCACATCTCATTGCCATGCTTATGAGAATACTTAATAATGGAAGTGTATGACTAATCGACAATGAAAAAATAATGGGAAACGCAGCAGGGAATCACATTGGTTCCTTTCCAGGAAAACAATACGCTGATTATGTGTGTCGTATTTTTGAGTTGAATTAATCATTTTCTTGAGATCACATTACACATTTTAGTATTCAGTGTTCATGCCAGAACTGATATTTCGGTTCAGAATGTGTTATGTGTTGTGTGTGTGTGTACGGGTGTTTTAGTATCAGGCCAAACCCACAAGAAAGTATTTACGACATGAAGGAAAACCGTTTTGTTTTGTTACAAGTTAGTGGCAACTACCTGATGATTAGAGACAAGGGATTTTAAAGTTACGTTTGCAGATGTGGTCCGTGTATCTCATATCTTCATATTGTAACCGTCCTATTTTTGTATTTTTATATGTTTCTTTACACTATTACGAATGACGTTATCATATTATACATGTCTGTAATGTTTCCTTCTCTTTCTGATTGTGGATGTTGTCGTATTATTGACATGTTCATGTGAAAGTGTCAAGTCGTTTTATACGATGAAGTTTGATTCTGTGTGTGTGTGTGTGTGTGTGTGTGTGTGTGGTGTGCATGCACTCTATGATTTGCCACACATGTCTTTTTGTATGTAAGTTTTTTATTTTTTTTTTATTCTACATTCATTTGCCATGTTTCCAGACTACAAATGCTATGATGGATATCAATTCTGTCAATATCATAACCAACAAACACGTACACACTCCCGCTGTGATCGTATCTGAAGTTTACATCGTCACACGTATGTGATTGCACATGTATGCAACATGCAGTATTACTGACAGAACAGATTCACATCAACCTCAGACATTTTTTGCACGCCTCAACCAGTGTTGAATATCTCATTTGATCAATTTGCTCAGCTCTTTGGTCTTTGTCTTTTTCATAGTTTTTTTTTGTTACATTTTGTTTATACTTTTTTTAATGGTGAAAGCTGGTAACCATTGCATTGAGATGTGTGAATGTTTGGCAACGTTCGGTTTGTCTTTTAAGGAGATGTAGCTGGAGCTGTCTAGCACCTGTTTGACTAAGAATGGATTAATTTTGGTTTCATAAATACTGAACGGTTGTGCACAATAAAAGGCATCATCAGTGATAAGAGCTGTGTTAAGTGTACTCAATAAACCCTTCTTATATTAAGTTATTACAGCTGTACAAAAAAAAGCTGCTATAATTCCAGGTCTATCCAGAATGTGCCAGAACTTTAAAAAAAAAAAAAAATTATGGTTATGGCAGAAACCAAGATTGGGGTAAAAAGTAACTTGAGTTACTTATTTGAAGAAGTAACTCAGGTATTTTATTGTACATTATGTATTACTTTACTAGTTACTTAGAAAAGTAATCTGATTACATTTACATTTTCTGACATTTTCATAATCTGATTACAATTTTACCTTTCACTAAACATATTTAGATATATGGGAAATCGCAATGGAAGACGATTTCGATATATCTAAATATGTTTAGTGAAAGGTAAAACTTCCGAAATCTCCGTGTAAACAATGCGTGACGCTGACGCAGACGCGTGAGAGATCACTTCCGGCGTAACGTCAGTTGGACATCTGATTCATCAGTTCGACGGCTGTTAACAAGAGGTAAAAAAATATAAAAATACTGTTTGTTTTCTCACACAAACCACTCGTTTTGTGTCTTAGGCCATTAATGTGTACTTACATGTACGAGTCATTAAATCATGTTTAATTTTGACTTCTCTGTGCATGCTCTTTGAGGTGGACCCCCTAAAACTGCATTATATGACTGACAGACAAGAACGGTATGACCAAAAAATGTCAAAATTGAAAATGCTGTGGAAACAAAGACACCTACATATTGGATGCCCTTGAGGTAAGCTAAAACATATCAAAAATTAATTTCAAAGTGAACTATCCCTTAAACACGTTCCCTCATACTCGCAACCCACTGCATCACAGTGTTTGAGTGTTACATGTCATTAAAGGTTTTGTTTAGTAAGTCAACTTATCTCTTAAAGTAAACACAGGACTACTAGAACATGTAGGCGACAATATGTTCTTAGCCAGCACATTCAAACACCTTCACATACTCCTGATTTGGTATTGTTTTGTATCATGTTTATTGGGAGAGAGAAGTCTGTGTTACTTAATATCTTCACTAAAATGGAGTGGTTGGTGCAACAATGCCCTACAAGGCAACCCACACACATACACCCCCGCTCACAACTCTGACATGAGAAATCAACAAAACCAAAGATAATTCTGAATATTTATTATGATGAACATTAAGGAGGGATGTCAACTGACTTACAAACATTTAGAGAACAGGTTAATAATAAAAAAAAAATGAAATAAGAGCCTATCAAAATGTCCCTCACAGTTTAAGACAAACAGAGGCTGAATACAATGACCTGTGGAAAGAATGCAATGGCTGAATGGAAGTATTCAAGCAAACCTATGAACATCAGTGGAAGTTTTTTTGGAATTAAATGAGCCATAATCCTCCAGAAACATGATAAAAGGCACTTAAGGAAAAAATAAAGAACAAATAATTTAAAAAAGCTAATAAGGAAATGAAGAAATCACATAAATGGGGGGGCCTGACTGACAAAAAAAAAAAATAATAATTTGTTTGAATTCTTCAACCGCTCATGACCATCCTTACGAGTTCTGTAGAAAAGAGAGAAAAAAAAGAAGAAATATGAGGCAGGAATCCAACAAAATTCAAACCCACTAGATCAGCAAATGTTGCCATGGACACCACACATGAAGTTCTAGATACATTTAGACCCATAAACAGTCAAAGATCGCACAGTATGTGTAGTTGCAGAAGCCCCAGGATGATTTGACAGAGAGGGGAGGAAGAGAGATTGTCCAGGCCTAAATGAAATTAGAATGGGTTAGCATACCTTATAAAGGCATAAATAGATCAGATACACAAGAACAGAAGAGAGAGAGAAAGCAGGACCAACATTGTGACAGGACTGGATATTAGCACTACAATACATCTCCTTACAAAGTAACAGCAGATGTTCATACCAGAAAGCAGGAGATTCTATTGAAATTCTATTCCTTGAAATATGATGCCGATAGTCATTTTTCCATCACAATAACATCAGCTTCTATATCCTGTATATTTGCGTACACTGCAGATATTTAGGAATGACAATCACATTTAAAAACAGTTATCACGTACGCACGCAACACAACTGGTCAAAGATTTATTGCTTTTGAGAGAAGCATTTTATGACTGTGATATACTACTATTCAAAAGTTTGGGGTAAGGTTTAAATTAAAAAAAGAAAATAAATAAATGCTTTTATTCAGCAAGAAAGCATTCATTTGTTCAAAATGACAGTAGACATCTATAATGTTACAAAAGATTTAGATTTCAAATAAAAGCGTTTATATTGAACTTTCCTTAGATCAAATAATCCACAAAAATATATATATAATAAGAAAGGTTTCTTGAGCACCACATCAGCAATTAAATTAAATTGTTTTCTGAAAGAACATGTGACACTGAAGACTGGCTGGAGTAATGATGCTGAAAATTCAGCTTTGATCACAGAAATAAATTACATCTCAAAAATATATTACATTAGAAAACTTCTTTTAAACTGTAATAATATTTCATAATATTATTATTGTTTTTACTGTAGTTTTGATGAAATAAATGCAGCCTCGGAGAGTATTCTTCATTGAGACCAAACTCAGCAGTATGACAACTAGCAGCAGTTTGTATGTGGCCTATTAGAAGTAGTGCAAGCAAATTGGTTTTGAATATACAATATTAAAGTTTTCCAAAACACAGCATTTCCGAATAAAGTGGAATGGCTGGTTTGGGGAGATGGGCATAAGAGAAACCAGCAAACTCTGTTAGCACTGGCACAGCATCACCATGGCAACAGTGGGAGTCAGGAGACGCCTACATTATGCACATGCAGAAATGCTACATGCTAGGCTAAAGGGGACACAGTAGAGAGGGAGCTGTAGGAGAGAAGAATGAGTAAAAACAAACTGAGGACCATTCGTACCCTCTCCTCAACCAGCCATAATGTGGCGCACAAATGCTGTCAGAAGGAAAAGCAAATGGATTAAACTTTGACACTTACACTAGTCTTGATGTTCAGACAAAAAGAAGACTAATTTGTGATTGTGGTACCTTCATAATTGATGCAGCCATTAGCATCCTCATGCCCTGCTAAGAGCGTCTCCACTTCCTCCTCTGTCATCTTCTCACCTATCATAAAACACACATCATATCCCCCTTAAAAATATATTTCAACCTGTTTTACAGAATGTAATTTCTGTATGTTAGGTGTTTCTAGTGCTTTGTTGGTGTTGGTCAATCTGTTTTTTTTTAAAGGACAGATATAATCCAACAAAAAAAATCATTCAATACAAATCAGTTTTTATGATTCAAAATACTGTACTTAATGAGAGAATCCATTTATGACAGTTTTGAACAAACTTGAAATGGAATGACACGGAAATTGTGATAGTATTTTTTTGTATTGTGACGCATATCCAAGTGAAATGGCTTCTTGGAAATTATTTTATATTTTTTTAATAATCATATGTTGTGCACAAGGGTAGGTAAAGGCCAAATTTAAAAATTTGACAACAATGGCATAAAAAATGTTTAGGAAAAAAACTATTTTTAAAGTAGAAATAGAAAAAAAGTCAATGTAAGACTTTTTCCTACTGTATATCCAATATCTCTTATTCATTGAATTCATACTTGAACTCTCCCTATACCATGCACACAGTTTTTGTCAAACAATCATAAGCACTTTATTTTAGTTCAGGTTTTCAAAGACGCTTCCTATGAAGTAGAAACCTTGGGAGTAATCAAAGAAAGACTATATCCCAATATATTGTAAGATCATTCTAAAAAAGGCCATGACTCTTTACCCAGTGTCGTGAGGACATGTCGCAGCTCAGCACCCATCACCGTTCCATTTCCCTCTTTGTCAAACACCCGCAGGCCCTCCACAAAGTCCTCAAAGGAACCCTGGTCCTTGTTTTTAGCGATGGCCTGCAGCATGGGCAAGAACTGCTCAAAATCCAGCATTTTCATGTTCATATCTGAGAAAAAAAGAACATTACAATCACTCTTATTTGTATTTACACCAACACACTGATAATTAAGCAAGAAAATCATCACTTAACAATTGAATTATAACTGTGGAAGAATAAGACACAACTAGATTAATTCAGTGGGACTGTTGAAGTTGTCCTGATTGCATCTTAGACTGATTAAAGGAGACAAATTGCTTTTGTCTGACAGAATAGGGAGAAGTATTGCTTATTGATCAAGGGAAATGGCAGAGTCATGTGGGTTTGGAACAACATGAGGGTGAGTAAATGATGACAGACTTTTCCTTTTTGAGTGAACTATCCCTTTAAAAGAACAAGGCAGGGCTTTTAAACATTGATGATTCAACCATGATTATACCAACAACCTTTAATAATTTCCAGTATTAAAAGAAATGATTTGTTTAACAAGTAACACATGACAATGCAGCAAAAGAAGGGTCTGACCTTCATTACTGGGGTTTCCCAGGACTTTGATGACCTCAGCATTGACAGGGTTCTGGCCCAAAGCACGCATCACATCCCCACACTGATTGTACATGATCTTCCCATCTCCAGTTCGGTCAAACAGGAGGAAGGCCTCCTTAAACTCTGTTAACAAGAGAAAGAGAGTAGGAAAATGCATTAGCAGAAAATAATATGTAGTTATCTGGACTGAAAAAAGAAAATGATAATGGTTAAAAAAACAGTCCCCTGGTTTCACAGACAAAGCTTAAGATAGTTCCAGACTACAATACATGTTCTAACTGAAAGCAAATTGCATTGACTTATCTTTAGTTTGTAAAAACAACTTAAATGTCCAAATTAAACTAAGGCCTAATCCTGACTTAATCTAAACCCTGTCTGTGAAACCAGGCCTACGTGATATAAAGCAACAAGCAAATTCTGATCTAAAATGATTATGCTTCTAGCTCTTGCTCTAGGATTTGAGATTGCTATCATAATGCTTGGTAGAGCAGCTTACAGGAATGCGACACTTCCCAGGCCGGCCTGAGTCAAATTTCACACACACTCACTGCGATTAACCATATATGGGCAGAAGAGAGATCGCAGCACCACATCAACAGGAATATTAGTTGTGTCCAAAATGACACACTATACACTTTGCACTGACACTGTGCACTTTGTACTCCACAGTCTAATGTGTGAGGTTTTTTAATAAGCAAGGTAGAATAACACATAATGGACTAACACAAGAATTAGAAGTGTGTTAAAGCGACTAAAGATTTCAATTGCAGTGACATAAGAACGGTATTGAATCGCTTATTTTTTTAGGCTAATGTTGTTGTTGTTTTATAGCTTGATAAAATGTAATACATTTTTCATCAAAATGTCATTTTATCCTATCTAAATGCAAGTTATGATAGTGAACAATTCGTCCATGCATGTTTTTTTGCTAATAAAAGACTTAGTGTAAAGACTCAAAGTTTTACTTTTCAATTAGCTTTAATAAATTATCAAATAGAATTGTATGGAATTAATTTATCTTCCTTTACTTTTTGAGTGCAAAGCCCACATATCCAATTGAATCAACAACTGATGCATCGAACCAAGTCCCAGCAGTATAATTTTTCAATAGGCCGTTGGATTTGGATGTATATCGCAATACATTTGTTTGTAAAATATTTGTTTATCGCTATTTACGAATCGTTTGTGTGAATGATTAAATGACTCACTTTTAATACAAAAGACGACACTTCAACCCGGGTCAGTGGATGAATCTTTTCACAGACCTGATTCAAAAGATTCGAATCACTAATATGAATCAAATCCGCAGCACTCGCCTAAACGTTTACTTGGAGCATTGTGCTTGAACTACGGCCAATTAAAACAAACATGACTCACAATATTACTCCATCACAGCTCGATAAAATTCAGCAGATCAAATTATCATTATTTTCTTGAATTCACACCCAATCCATTTTGATGTTGTTCATACGTAGCGTCTCTCTAGCTGCACATTCCACAGCAGCAGCTTCCGGTGCCGCATCTGAAAGCTGTCTCTGCACTGTAACCCCAGCAATTTAGCATCACGAATTAAAATATTAAAGAAACCTCCGGTCGAATTTTGCTGTGTTACATTGGACATGAGGTACTACACAATAGTGTGTCTAAGTGCTAAGCACTGACTGCACATCTGTCAGACTCAAAGCTGATGTGCAGGCCTACGTTTAATAGCATTAATCGGCAACTACATAACCTCGACGAATACATAATAACAATATATTCAAGTAGTCAACATTACTCACCGCAAATCTGGTCCTCTGAGAAGTCAGACTGTCCATGCCAGGATGAGGATGGAAATAGAGAAGATCAGCATTAAAACCGAAGATGCATTGGTTTGATCTTACAATAAAGGATATTGAGATCCTCCCTCAAAAAACACAAAACACTCAGAGCAAACCAAGACACGTGAGAATTAAGTTAAATGTGTTGGCCTGATTGATAGCAGAGCTTGGCGGTTTAAAAAAAAACCTTATGAGATCAACAGTCTGTTTAACGGTCACCTACCGACTGTGTGACTAATAGGCGTTACCTGCACACTGTAGTGAAAATGAGAGATGACACCAGGCTATAATAATGGACTTACCATGACTGCAGTGATTGAGGATGGAGCGGAGGGAGCGTCAGTATGGGCGCTGTGTGAATTACAGTATGGGCGAACACACTTTGTGACACCCCTTTATTCACGATGATGTCATGTCAACTCGATTCAAGTTGAATCGGCCAATCAAATAGTGCGGGCGCTGGTTTCCCTCTATGGTCATTACCGGCCAGTCAGTATTAAATCCGCAGCAGAAAAACTTGAATACCGTAATGCTGTTTCCGTTCGCAATGGAACTGTGAGTTTGAACGGGGCTGAATTGAAATAAAACTGAAGTTGCGATATAGGTAAGTCAAACCTATTACATCGGTTATCAAAATCTGCAATTTAAGGTCCTTACACTGAGTCCAAAGTTTTCTTATGCATTTTCCGTATGTTATTCGGTGGTTCTGAATTGTCAAAACACCTCTCAAAATCCTTGACGGATAAATAATTTTTTATGACGTAGAAAGTTTCGGAGGCAGTGAAAATGGTCAATTCTTATTTTATAGAATATTGTAGTATCTATTATAAATTATTTATTTGCGTGCACCATTAATCTTTAATCAAAATAACTTTCCCTCCTTCTTGGAACATCTTCTCTTCTCTTCTCAATTTCCTTTCTTGCGTCATTATAGGGAAGAAAAGACTGGCAACTTCGGTGTCTTTCTGATTCAAAGACAATACATATTAGTATTGTAACTTTTACTGTAAAATAAATAATCAAATATTATTTCTTTATTTTTAGTAAAATTGTGATTTAAGAAAGTAATATATTTTGTCTTCATTTTTTTGAAGACAAAATATTTGTTATTAAAACTAACAATAATAACAATTATTATTATTCTGCCAATTATTGTTATACTATTCCATTTGAAACACCAGTGTGACTATAAACCAACATCAGAGAACCGTGAAAATGTACATGTTATTAAACTACTGAAACATTAACAGATGTTCTGTCAGCTACATTTCTCTCAGACAACATCATGTGGAAATCATGCCAAGAAGCCTGCACATATAGAAATGTCTTCCACATTTTCTTTAGACTTATCATTTTCCTTTTAATTTTTAATCATTGCATAATTAGTATGTTAGAGCTTTATTTGTAGTGTTTCAGGACTATGTGGTGGTTATGATTTGGTTTGGTAGCTTGTAGAAGCCCTTAACTTTTCAGAACTTATTTTGCAACATACAAACAGTTATTCTAGCATATTAGATGCTGTATATGTTAGAAATTGTATTTCACTGCTAAAGGGAATACCAAAATTGATATGGTCTCTAGTTTGAGACCAGCCAGAAAGTAAGCCAGGATTAGGCATAGTTCAATTAGTGCATTTAAGTAGCTTATAAACATGCCTAAGAGAAACATTACTGGTGTGCATCTTGAGACAAAACAATGGCACTGAATTTTGAAATTTAGTCAAATAAAAATCTATGACATCAGATTTTTTACATTGTAAAATGTTTATTTTTTGTGGTGGCACAGAACCAGCAGTTTAGCTGTTGTTTTACCAGTAATATGTCAGTTTTCAGATGCATTTTGCTGAAAATATAGTTTTGAACTAAGTTGATGACGAGACATACATTTTATAGATTACAGGGAATAGAATTCATATTTTTACAAGCCGTTTATTTTCTCATTCAAATGGCTCTGCTCACTCCTCCTGACTGGTGCTCTCTCCACATTTGAAACGTATGAAGTCTAGTACACGTGCATCCTGCGAAGTCAGGTACTGTCCCACTGTGTATTTGGGATCTGGGAGGAAGGTCTGGGGCAAAAGTCTCGTCTCAGATTCACCACATGGTATATCGTCCATGTTGCCAAGAGAAACAGGTGCTTCACCTACTATATGTTGCCCCAGCTTCCTTCCCAGAGTATCTGTCCCTTCCTTTGGTCCACCTTGAAACACAACTAGCGATCCATAGCGCCCCATATCAATGCCAACCTCCCCAGGAACCATTCCATGAACATATGAGCCAATGTGCCAATCAGATGGCACAACAAGTGATACGGCTCGCCGCATGCCAATGTTCTCACCCAGACGCCCTGAAAGGGGAAAAAATATTATTATTTTAATGCTTGTATTTAATTATTAGGAGGTAAAAGGTAGCAGAGGCCATGGTGTGTTGAAAAGCTTCAAGTGTTTGTGTAAATCATTTTGTGAAGACAATAACATTTTGTAAATATGTAATTTCCTGTACTGTACAGATAAATACACTACTATTCAAAAGTTTGAAATCATTACAATTATTAAAAACGGTTTTAAAAAGTCTCTTATGCTCACCAATGCTGCATTTATTTGATCAAAAATACAGTAAAATAATATTACATAAAACTACTAAAATAGTCCTGTGATGGCAAAGCTGAATTTTCAGCATCATTACTCCAGTTTTCAGTCTCAAATGATCCTTCAGAAATCTTTTAATATGCTGATTTGATGCAAGAAACATTTGTTATTATTATTATCACAGCTGAAAAACTTTTTAAGGAGCAAGAAATAACAGATAAACCTGGTTTTCGAAGGTTATGCTGAAATTAATATAATGTAAACGGTTTATTCTCACCTATAGTCAAAGCCACCTGATCTGCCAGGGAGGGTCCCTCAGGAATGTGGAGCTTAGACATGTCCTCAGCTGACAGCTCACTCTGAATCAGAGAACAGATCAGCATTCAGAGATTGGAGAGGTGTGGAAGAAATGCACATTTCTCAAACTGCAAATGAAGGCCCTGTACCTTAAGATACGCTGTCTGTTTTTTGCTGACGAGATTAGCCATTATTGACAAAGCAACATCCTTCACCAACTGCTGAAATTTCTCATTTCTTGCAACAAAATCTGTCTCACAGTTCACCTGAACATTAAACAATTATGTTAGTGATCATTAGTTCATTCACACACCACATAATTTTGGAGACCAAATATCATTGTGTGGTAAGATTGGCATGTCAAGTCTACCTCAACCATGACAGCTGCATTATCACCCTTAATGACACCAATCAGCCCCTCCCTGGCTTTCCGACCTTCCAGTTTGCTTGCTTTGCTCCAGCCCTCCTTTTTTGCTTGTTCATGGAGCCAGCTTTCTGCCTGCAAAGTGCAAACATCACATTTGAAGTCAAAATTAGTTCACATCCCTTACCATTTAACCTTATGTCATAATATATATATATATATATATATATATATATATATGACAACAACTACAAGGAAGGATGTGTTTGTGTGCTTCACAAAATCAACAGACAGACAGACAGACAGACAGACAGACAGACAGACAGACAGACAGACAGACAGACAGATAGATAGATAGATAGATAGATAGATAGATAGATAGATAGATAGATAGATAGATAGATAGATAGATAGATAGATAGATATTGGATCGCACCTGTGTAATGTCATTGTTAAATTTCTCCAGTGCCTTTTTGCAGTTGATGAAGGTGTAGCCCGTAGCTTTGCGTAATTTGAGGAGAAGTGTTTTCTCCGCTGCTAAACTCGGGGAGCTGGTGTAGAGAGACTGGGCATGCTGTGCGAGACATCCCTATGAATAACATATTTAAGACACGTGATTAAATTATGGCACAGGACATAACACAGCTGAATGGAAACCGTTAAGCAAATACAGTCATGTATTATTTAAAATACAAGATAAAAAAAGCAAACAAGATAAAAAAAATCTTCTCAAACTAGACTAGCATGAAAAGATTATAACTTTTAAAGCATCTAATTAAAGGCATTAAAAGGTTAGAAAGCTCAGTGCGGTAAATGAGTCAAAGCCCACCTTGACTACTTCAGTCCTGACGGATCGAAACAAAGAATATAAAGCCATTTCTATATCTTCATAAACCAACACAGGCTTCCTTACATCACTAACTGAGATGTCATTGAAGCACGCTTTCTACAGAGAGGGAGAAAGGTCATATAAAAGAGAATTCAGGTTCACATGTAGCGCCATCTATTGCACAGGAGTTTAAGATTCACCGACAGCTGAGTGTTAGTAATGGTCAATGATAATGTGTTATATTGATTTGTAATAAATGTATATTTGTTTGTGAAATCTATTATTGTTATTATTCAGAAACAATCCTAATGGGATCATATACCGTATGTATGTATGTAGCCTATGTATGTATTTATACACAAACATATATATATATATATATATATATATATATATATATATATATATATATATATATGATCACATTAGGATTATATAAATGTCTAAATGTATAATGTATATTTGCGAGAAGGCAAAATGAAAACCTAAAAAAAACATCTTGATTGCTGTGTGAATGGGACCACCTGGTCTTGCTGACTTGTTTGCCCATGCACTCATCTCATGGAAACATGTAATGGAACACGTTCTTGCCAAATGGAGGCATGATTTCAAGAAAGAATATAGCAAAATTGTATGAAATTCTAAAGTTTACAACTAACTGACAACTAACACCTCTTTGTTCTCATATAGATTTTAGACCAACTCACTGAATTAAGAGGAACACAGATTTTTATTTTTTTTATTTTTTTTTATTTTTTTACAACTTTCAAATAAAACAACTTTTTTATTATTAATTATTTATTACCCTGTTTGTCAAAGCAAATGTTTGGAACTGGTCCTATCTTATCACAACAGAGATTTGGTGCATGGGAGGAGTTCCTGAGATTTTATTTATCTGAGACGGTATAAAAACTAAATTGGGTCTTAATCTGCAGTTCATGCAACTGGATCGTCTAACGCCTATGATGAAGGTCATCGTCATCCTCTGTCTCACCCTGATCTCTCAGGCCAGTGGTAAGTTCATAGCTACAATTTCCATCATAATTGTAATGCATAAGTTACTAAACTAAGCATATCCATGTGTCTTTTGTTATCAATGCAAATGCAGTTTCCCTCCCCCTCTCTCTCAGATGATTTGAGGAATATTTTTACATTTTTGTAATTAAAGAAGAGTTGTTAAGATTCAAGAGTAAAAAAAGTCTCTCTTTCTCTCTCTCAGATTCTTTGGAATTCTGTTAGTGTGATATTCAATTTTACACTGAATTTTTCTATTTTATTTTTTTTACTCATATTGATTCATGCCCAAATCGCCTTAATCAAATAATGTGCCGTGTGTCTAATTGCGACATAACTGAGTTAATTTCACAATAACTACTCAAATCAAAATAGTCTGATTAAATTTTTTTTAATGACGCAGTCAGCATGTGAAATATACCTCAACTCCAGATTTATGACTATAACAAGCAGTGGTAGTCGAGGTGAGCGTCAACACCTGTAATTCTGTAAAATACTATACATTTTATTATACACATTTATATTGTCGACAAAATTAAAACAAATAGGTTTGAGATGATGACATAAAGCTATTCGACTGTACACAATAGCTGGCATTGTTAAACCCATATGTTCAATTATAGACAAAAGACAAACGTATCACAAATCAGACGATGATGATTCTAAATTCTAAACAAACACAGACAGGTTCTAGTTCTAAATGTTAGGGGTTTATCTGTGATAAGATACTCAGTGTAACCATGAGTCCTGTTTTATTTTGGATGCCAAAAGTGGCGTGGAACTCAGCTGTGTCAACTGCTATAGTTTCACACACTTAGTTCATCTCAGCATTCATTTCAAAGTACTAAACACCACAGCCGTAAAAGCCACAATATTGTGCAATGATTCATGGTTTCACTTTGGTTTACAGAAAGCAATTACAATTACATTTAGACAATTTTTTTTTTATTATTGTCATAAAACAAGTCTACAAATCCTAGAAGACAAATCTCATATTAGTTCAATTCTAATTCAAAAATCTTGCAATAGGGTCTCATTTGCACTTTGCAGTGCACTCTGCAAAAAGGTCATACATCATTTGTTAATCTATTAACTACAATGAACTAACAATGAGCTTCGTTATGAACATTCTTCGTTAACGTAAATAAAAATCCAGCTGTTCATAGTTCATGTCAATGCATTATCTTACGTAACATTATACAATATTTGATATTAATAATGTATTGAAATTAACATGAACTAATAAATGCTGAAGAATTGTTCAATATAACTAACCTTATTTGTAAAGTGATACACACACATAAACCACAAACAATAAAATAAACTCAAATCCAGTTAGATGTTAAAAATGTTCAGACTTTTGAGTGATGATTCATTTAACACTGTTTACTAGAAATCGAATGGTGCATTTCAACAAAAAGAAAAGAAAAACAATTGCAGTGATTATTTGGTTAATTTATTTGCAGTAATTATGTTAATTCTTCCCTTCATTCCTTCAGTTTGCTCAGGTTTTGTCAGACTTTTCTTTACTCCTCAGGTACTAACACTTTTGTGTGTGTGTGTGTGTGTGTGTGTGTGTGTGTGTGTGTGTCCAAGCATTAGCCAGTGTCACTGACGCTGAGATCAAGTCTCTTTCTGAGACACTGTACAAGTTAGACTTTAACAGGGCCACAGCCTCAGACCTGGTTATTGAACCTCAGACACTGATCTCTTCTTCTGCAACCGGCTCCGGGAATGACCTGTCATCACGCCCGTAAGACACACATAACCACATACACATGTGCGCATGTTATTATGTATTATAATGTTCTTTAATATTCTCTAGATTGTTCCAGCAAGTTAGTAGTACTTTGCTCTCCAAGCCCACGTATCAAGCTCTCCTGAATCTACTGGACAATTATAAACGGATGACAGGAGAAGTGGAGGATGTGCCCTCACAGGAAGTGGAGGAGCAGGACACTTTCCTACAAGAGACCATGAACACTGAACTGGGCATTGAGCTCTACAATTTCCTCCACTCTAAAGGTATGTGATACCCAAACTCTTTTTGTTTTGGACCTTGTGAATTTGAGTGATCCCAATGGGATAAAAATGCTGCAATCACAATAATCCCAAATAAATATTTTTGAATATATTGGTATTTATATTATCGTTCAAAAGTTTGGGGTCAAATGCAAGGATGCATTAGTTTGACCAAAAGTGACAGTAAAGACATTTTTAATATCCTTTCTACTTCTTTCTAATTCATTTAATTTCTAATTCAAATAATTGATGTTCTTTTGAACTTACTATTCATCAGTTTTTACAGAAATATTAAGCAGCACAACTGTTTTCAACATCGATAATAATAAGAAACATTTCTTAAGTATCAAATCATCATGTTAAAATGATTCCTGAAGGATAATGTGACAATGAAGACTCAGCTTTTCCATCACAGGAATAAATTACAATTTAAAATATATATTAAGGTAAAATTTTATTTTGTGAGCATGTGAGCATAAGATCCTTCCTTTCAAAAATATATACAAACTATTTGAACAGTAGTATTAATAGTTTTCTAATTTACTAGAATAAATAATAAACTTGGGTGTAAAATGTAAAAAAAAAATGTCATCAAACTGTATGCAAGACATTGCTGATTTTGATTGTCAAATGACTATACACACACTTTATTGTGTTATGGATCAGGTGCATACTCATCACAGAGCGAGTTTATCCAGGATCTAAAGATGATGTGGTTTGGCCTTTACTCTCGATCTGATGGCAGGCTGGACTCCAGTGGGTTCGAGCACATCTTTGTAGGTCAGTATGCGTGTGACCACGTGATTGGCTGCCAAAATGCATTTTGTATGTCTTTGTCTGACATGTAGTGTGTAAACAGGGGAAGTTAAAAGTGGTAAGGTGTCTGGTTTCCACAACTGGCTGCAGTTTTATCAGAATGAGAAACAGGGACTCATGAATTACTACAGCCATAGTTTTGATGGCCCTGTGAGTACTTCATCAAAATTAACCAGTACTAATACAACATGCATTTTAAAAGTGTAGTGCGGATGTCTGCTGGTAGAAGTTTTGATTTAGAAAAGGTCAAATTTCCCCTCTCTCTCAGTGGACCACATTTCCTGACGTACTGGGAATGCAGTTTAATTGGAATGGCTATTTCAAAGAGGTTGGATCTGCCATAATCGGCTGTAGTCCTGAATTTGATCTGGCTATCTACAGTCTCTGCTACATCACCCGCCCTGGGCAGAGGTAAGTTGTTACTCTATTCACTTTCAGGCATTCATCAAATACAATTCTTGTTTTGTTTATATCAGAAACATCCATTCCGTATCTAACATATTTATCAAAATTCCTAGACTTAGTTCACACCAAGAACGTTTCCAAATGAAAGTGTTTCCAATGATATTGTTTTTTTGCACCATTATCGTTATATATAGTTGTGGTGAGGACTATATTCTTTTCTATTTAGAATGATTTTAGAACTATATGTCTCATTATCGTTGTATAGTTACCATCCTTGATGTGAACGGGCCTTTACTCTAAAATTATATTGTATTATTATTAATAACAATACATTTAAAATAAAATAAAAGAACTGTAAAATATAGAATTAAAATCAAACTATAACAATTATCCATCCATGCATCCATCTTCCCAGCGTTATTCCCACTCATTTGCAGGGTCCACTTCACACACACTTGATTTGGCGTAGGTTTTTAAGTCGAGATGCCCTTCCTGACACATATTATAACAATTGTCGTTTATAATAATTTGATTATCATTTAATTATCCATCTTACTCAAAATGTACGATTTTTTAAATAAAATATCCCAAAATCACTTGCACAGTTTGATATATTTCCTGCAGTTATGCACTTGCAATATCCAAAAAGTTACCAAAGATTTTTAATTACAGTGAACTTCCAATTTTAAATAATGGCTCGTCCCTGGTCATTGTCGCCCGTCAATGACGTAATATCCGCGTTATCCCTGGTTTCTTTGTTGTTGTAATAGGTTAGCGATCCCTAGCGGCGAAAAATACATATCGTAGCTTTAACCATCTGAAATGCTTGACTGCTTTCTCAGGTGTTATGTGAGCTTGGGAGGGCAGAGTCTGGGCATTCAGACCTACACATGGGACAAGAGCAGCTATGGGGATGGAAAGAAGTACATTGGCTCCGCTTACCCTGCCACACCTTGATTCTCTTTCATCCGAATATCAGCATCAACAAACTCACAACTCATCTGCAATTTTAATTATTCGATTGATTATTTGAGGTTGATGTTGGATCTAATAAAAAGCAGGAACAGAAAAACACCCCTCCTGTCTGTACTTTTACTTGTCAGGATCTAATACATTACACAATCTCCTTAGCAACAACTGTCAAAACGGTACACATCTTTTGTTGTTAAGCTATAAATTCTAGTTCACAGAATTTTTGCTACATTTTTAAACTTGACTTTGAAAGCGTATCTTTACATTTCAATACCTTCTGTAATTATACAAAAAATGAAGAAATAAATTAATAACACCAAACTCTTACAAAAAATTGTTTTATTTACATAAAATTCAATATTCCTCTAGACTTCAAGCATTTGACAGTGAGAGAACTGATGATGAGGTTATGGATCAGGGTCAGAGACGCAGCGGAAACCCAGGTTAGAGGCAGAACTGTCCGGGGTATTCTGACTACGGGCTGCACACCTGTATCTGTAGCAGTAAGACTACAGAGAGAGAAAAATGTCTTTACAATCATGCATATAAATTAGTTGAAGAAAAGTTTGTTTCAGGGTTCATTCATACCCATTTCAACAAATATATTTCCATGACTTTAATGATTTTAAAGGCAAATATTCATGGCCCAACTTTCCAATTGGAATGAATAAACAAGATAACATGTGAATTCCCCCAAAATATGTGATTGGTTATAATACTCAATGCTGCCAAACAAAATCTGATGGAATGCCACAGTTGGATAGATCAAATGAATGTTAAGTATTGCAGTTTGTCTAACCAATATTATCACTTAAACATATTCTATTATATAATTATTTTGAAGGATTTCCATGACTTTTCCAAAACTTTTATTTATTTTTCCAAGATTTTCCAGACCTGAAAAATTGCTATTTTTGTCAATATTTATCACTTCTTTTATTTGCTCAAAAATACAGCAAAAACAGATGCATTTAAAATAAATGTTTTCTATCTTAATGTATTTTTAAAATGTATTTATTCCTGTGATGTCAAAGCTGCATTTTCAGCAATCAATAATATTCACAACCCATTCTAAAATGCTGAATGGTGCGCAAGAAACATTTCTTATTGTCAATGTTGTAAAACGTACTGCAAACATACTATTTTCGGAGTAAACCATGATAAAAAAAAATAAAATACAGGATTCTTTGGCGAATAGGAAGTTGAAAAGAGAAACATTTATTTTGAAATAGAAATCTTTTGTAACACTATAAATGTCTTTACTGTCATTTTTGATCAATCGAATCAAAAGTTTTCATTTCAATCTTACTGGCCACAAATGATTGAATGGTAGTGTACTTCCAGCATCATTTTATCTGACATAAAATATCCCAACGCCTCAATAACATGAGGTCCTTTTTGTCAGTCATACAGTAGATGGCTTTGTGTATGTTTTACCTTGTGGCACATGTACGATCCTCCTTTCTTGACTCTATCTGTCCCTGATTCTGGTCCTTTCTGTGGAAAAAAAAATTCTAGCATTAGTATAATGGGTTAAAATTCCTTTTGAGTATAAAAAAGGTGTGGATGTGTGTGCATGCTTCCTTACAGGATTATATCTGTCTTCTGTATTGTGATGTACATTCCACCAGTCTGCAGTCCACTCCCATGCGTTCCCCACCATGTCATACAGACCAAAGCCATTGGCAGGAAATGACATCACCTGCCCAAGACATCACTTAAAATGTATTTACAATGGATATACACAAGTCTACACACATTCAATTTTATATTCAATGTACATGCTAAACATCTGCAGTCACTGCTTTAACTTGTCTTCTCTCAAATCAAATACACAAGGGTTGAGCTGTAAATCAGGATAAAGGGCTGCTACAAATTTAAATAAAACTATAAACAATACCAAAACTGCATTCATTTATGACAATATACTGTACATGTATAAGTATCTTTTGTATTTTGTCTGCTAATTTATTCTTAGCGTTACCGGTGATGTGTTAGCATAGCCGTCCTCTGCTGTGTTGTGTTTAGGGAAATCGCCCTGCCACAGGTTAGCATAGTGTTGCCCTTTAGGCATTAGTTTATTTCCCCATGGGTACAGCCTAACAAGAATGATAGAGGGAGAATATGATAAAAAAAAAATACATTCAAATTGACAAAAAGAGAAGAAAACACAGACACAAACGCACCTATCCTGAAGTCCCCCTCTACAGGCTAACTCCCACTCAGCTTCAGTAGGAAGTCTGCGTTTGGCCCAGTGACAGTACGCCTGTGCGTCAGCCCATGACACGTGCAGAACAGGGTGATTCATCCTAGATACAAACACAGAGATCATATTTAATATGACTTCTACACAGGAATATGACTTATAAACAGATAAGCATATCGTTTATACAGTATAGTTGGCATTGTATTGCAATCATTCACTGCTTGCTCATGTGATATTGCTTACATATATTTTCTTTACCTGTGGTCTATGGCTGAATCTGGTCCTTCTGGATGTCTCCAGTCTGCACCTTTCACTGGGGACCACCAAGGAGCAGCAGCAACCTACTGATCATAAATAAACAAATGACCATAGGCAAACTGTAGCTCAGCCAACTGTTTATTCGTGGCTATAGCAAAAGACAAGTTGACTAAATTTTTTACGTTTTTTTTCTTTAAGACATTCTTTTCCCTGGCTCCCCTTGAATTCATATCGATTCAATTTTACACTGAAATATATGTAGGTATTGACAAATAGGATGGACATACCAACATTTCAATATTAAGATTTTAGGTTTAAAATATATACATGTGACGGAAAGTATACTTTTAGATGCTCTTCAGATCATTTGTATTTATGTACTAATAGTCATTCAGATAATAATCCTGCAGCGTGACAAATGTTTTTTTTTTCATATTACAAACATTATAAATAAATAAAATGTATAACCAGCAGCCAGTTGGTCATTAGTACAGAAAGAAAGAAAGATGGGTCTCACCGCATGTAAAAGAGCGCTCTTCACCTCCTGACTTAGCAGTCCCTCAAAAACAAAAGAGTCTCCAAAACGCTCGGCCTGAAGAAATAAATAGCCGACTGAGCTAGCATAAGTATTGATTATTTGTCTTATGGTTCTGTAAATGGATATTATTTACAACATAATTTCTAGAAAAGTTGGGACATTTTGTAAAATGCTATAAATCAACAATCTGTGATTCGTTAATTCTCTTGAACCTTTATTAAACTAACAAATGTACAAAGAAAAGATTAACCAACTTAATTGTATTTTGTTAATATAAAAATTTTGATTTTGATGACTGCAACACACTCCAAAAAAGTTTGGACAGAGGCAGAAGTAGGTGAATTGGTAACACTATAGGTGAGAGTATTGTTATTGGGTTAAAAAAAATAAGCATTTTTGCCAATGGGATTATACCTCTGTGATGTAGCCTGTCTGGTTGGTGAAGTGTTGGAACTGCTTGTTTGTGACCTCGTGCTCTTCAATGTAAAAAGGGTCTAGTCTCACTCTCCTCTGCGGGCCCTCTCCATCCTGTGGTATTCCTGGGTCATCCGTTCCCATCATAAACCAACCTCCCTGCAGAAGCACCAGCTACACAAGCATACACACACAACATTCAGATTGTTCTGTGGCTGTTTTGTTAAACGTTTTATGCAAAAGTTAAATTTTTTATAAATATCCTAATTTAACTAAGGCCTAGAATATTGCATTCAAATCTATATATATTTTTATTGCGCTTTTCTCTACTTTTTTAAGATTGACATACAATGGTCCTACCGCCCCCTTTATCAATTTTAAAATATAAATATTAATATTAATAATATTTATATAAATTTCTTCTCAATGAACTTTTACTTGTCTAGCCTATGATGATGATGATGACAAACCTACCTTAGTGAGTACACCAGGCTCTATCGTGTGTGGACTTTCATTTGCTGTTTTGGAGTATATATTTGCATCATCTTGATGTTCCAGATTGTTTTCATAACTCACATCAACAGCAACCTCCCTTTTCAGTCCTTGACAACCACAACCCGTGCTCTGCGACTCCGATGACTGCGGACTCTGTTCGAGCACGATGCCGCCTATATCACAATATACTGACACAATGCATAGAAATAAAACCACAGAGCTGTTCAATATTGATGCCATTACCAGGTTAGACTATGCTGCTCAGTGCTCATGTTCTATTGCACTTCCGGCTAAGCGGCTATGGTCATGTGATCAGTCAGGTGACGTGTCTTTCAAAATGATGAAGTTCGCTAGCCTGAATTCATCTAACATTTCTAAAGCTATCTGTTGACTTTCCTATTCATCTCAATGGCAATTACCGCCATTTAATGTAGTGTAACATTTGCTTTAGTAACCCAGTTCTGGTGCTGTGTTGAAATCTATGGTTGAAATTGATGACTAGAGAGAAATCTGTGACTAGAGGTCGCTGTTCATTAGGCTAAATTTCGTGCGCGCGTGCACTGGTGGGGAGAAACTGATGGTTATTTATTATCTAGGCTGCTTCAAGAAATAATATTTTTAGACAAGTTGTTCGAGTGCAATGCTCATCATTCTGATTCGGTCAAACAAATAACGATCTATTACAATTGTTGTATTATTTAGGAGGACAAACTATCTGTAATGCTCTTCACTCTTGTGACATCTAAACTTTTCTGTATTTTGAAAGCATCCTGGTCTGATTGCTCTGATGTGAACATATGATATGCTGCATGAGCCTATACAGCGCATGGTCACTGAAATCCATTCTGTCTGACCTTCTCTCTTCTGGATTTTAGAAATAGAGCCTGCATATTATGCAGCAGGGTCACTGAATCTAACAAGGTAGCATGTTTGTTCCCTTCAGGGCTGTTTCTCTCAAAATGGCTTTAATATTTTTCTAACTCTGGTGATGTGTGAACTCTAAACCTCTTTGTTTCATACTCAATTTTGGTCTTATTTATGAACAACAGCAGGGTCACATAATCTGACAAGGCAGCATAACAGGATGTCAAAATCTTTCCTCTCTCCCCTCGTTCACTTTGACTGACTTTCCAAATTCATGCTGGGGATTCTTATCTTTATATCCTAGAAATGATTTTGGTCTGACTTGAA